CTCTGGCAAAGCTCAGGCATGCCTTGCTGGTCAGGGCTTACAATAGACACGGCGTGTGTACTCTACCAACCATCACACCAACTCCATCCTGCAGCCGCTGCCGCTGCAGTGTATTTGTGTGCTTATTTTTCTCTGTTTCTATTTTTTGGGGATGGATGCGAGGGAGAGGCAAACTTCGTGGTCAATCATCCCTTTCTGATACCGCACCGTTCTTCCCCAAAGCACCACAAGGTGTGCTATCTTGCGATCGCGTGTGGTATCACGACCTCAATCGATAGCGCCACTTTCACACGCACAAACCGCCCATGGGTGGCCCGTGAAATGCTCACGAAGTGCCCACAGTAGGCACTTTAACCTACAACTTCTCCACCGGCATATCAACCTAGAACTCGGCCACGGCACATCAACCTACAGTAGACCTTTGCCACCCAGCACCAACCTAGCACGTATCGTGTGGACTTGAGGTTAGGGTCAGGGTTAGCGTTAGGGCCATTAGCTGTTGTTTTGCCTGTTCCAAAGCAGATAATCTGTTGTTTAGCAGTACGCTGGAAGGGCACTCATTGTCCATGGGCAGCCCATAGGCATGCCCATGGGTTGCCCATGGGTGTCCCATGGGCGGTTCAGCAAAACTGTAGAAAGTGTGGAAGCCCCAAAGAGCCCAAAAGGTGTGCTATCATGCGATCGCGTGGGGTATCACGGCCTCAATCGATAGCGCTACTTTCACACGCACAAACCGGGTGCCACACACCACATGCATGGCAGCTGCCGAGGAAATTGCTTGTGGCATCGAGGCTTCCGAAAATGTGTGTCATCCTTGAGCCCCGAAGGGAAAATGAACCGATGACGTACATTGACGCCACCTGCCGTAGTATACGCCATGCGAAAGAAGGAGAAGGTCGGCATGCGTGCCAGAAACAACGGTTTATGCGGTGCGATGTGCAAGTCCGCTGTGATTGTGCCTACTGGTCGATTTTGAAAGTCGGAAGATCAACACTGGCTATGTCTTCTCTTGACCTACGGCATCTCGAGGATCAAGGGTATGCGAAACATATGTTGTCCGCCAAGGTGCCATGTTCTTCTTTTGGAGTTTCTTCGGGGGCGTGAGGTTTCAAGGTGACCCCCTTTTCCACCCCCCGCACACAATCCTACACAGTACGTGGCCTGATACAGTGGCATGTGGGGGGAAAAGAGGAGAATATTCCGCTAATCAGGGCAGTTGTTGTTGTTGTTGTTGTTGTCTTCACATTAAAAACCGTTTCGATCTCTCTCTACCCAGTACCTTCGTATGTCCGTGCTGATCCAACACTCGACGCGGTCGATTCCCGTGGTCACAGGTTAACTTACCCTAAAAAGGTACACTCAAATAAACTGGCCCCGAGGGGTCCGCAAGTCAATAGAAATCAACGACAGATATTCTGGGATCCTCCGCTCCCTCTTCGCGCTATGCGGGGTATCAACTGAGATTAGCAGTCACTATCTATCATGGGCCGGAGAGAAAGAGGTACACTCCCTTGGTTCAATCTTGGTACTTCACAACGCAAGCAGAGACAAGGCCATCTGGCACAGAAAAAGAGAGAAAAAAAGAGAGATAAAAAAGAAAAAAGAGAAAAAAAGGAGAAAAAATAAAAATGGAAACCGTAAGGAGAAGAGAGAATAAATGAAAATAAAATGAAAAAGGGCGAGAACAAAGAGGGACCAGGCCGAAAATAACAGGAAGTATGAGGCAGAACAGGCACACGGTGGAGAGACCACTAACGAACAAGCAAACACGCAAACATGGCCACCAACCAGCGATACATTGTAATGGTACGAAATCACTACTACTGGGGGGTTGGTGCAATGGTGCAGCGTTGGGGGGGGGGGGGGGGTGTACTCATAGTCGTGCATGCCGTAGTCGTTTGACCATTGACCTCGCATCCCTACAAAGCCGGGACGGAGCACGCCGGGTTCTCACCGGACCAGGCTCTCACATCACCAAGCGCGAAGCGCCGTGAGGTATTTGGCGAGTCGCATGAAGGGTGAGCTGCCATCCTGCTAAGGGTGTTCGGCATCTTGTGCTTACTTCCTTGCGTACGGATGACAGCTACGTATGACTTAATTTATTTTCTGGTGCTTTCACTTCCAGAGACAGTTGTAAGCACTGTGTAACTGCCTCGAGGAAGCTTGACCATTTTAACACAACGTGGTGCGATCATCCCCCGTTGCGCGGAGTGAGGTTTCTCCACCCCGCACAACATGATCTACTCGACCACCATTATGGTTACCGCCAAAAAAAAAAAACCGAGGTAAAAAAAAAAACGGTAACCTGGTTGCCGAGTTCACGAAGTGAATTGGCTTGTTTTACAACGTCGTTGCCAAGCGACGAAAACCCAATCCCGATGGCAAAAGAAATTCAATCCGGCACGTGTCGTGCCACTCGGTCCGTCTCTTCTCGTTTGCTTTCTTCCCTCGCCGTCTCGTCCGTCTCCTGCCCCCCTCCCGCCCCATTGGTTGTTGGCTTGTGGTTTCGTTTGAGCGCTCGTTGTCGGCTGGCCTCTTCTTCCTTCTCGTGCCAGGAGGTCATGAACCTCTCAGCTCCCTGCAGCACCGCCGCATGCCAGGGTACTCCCCCCTCCACCTTCGCGGCTTCCGTCCACCTTGACGTCGGTGCCGTGTCTTTCGGTACGGGAATTCCGAGACAACTTGGGTCGGTTTTCGTAGATCCGTGGTCGGCCCCGAAGGCCTTCAGGTCGTCGAGCACACACTTCGGCCAGTTCTGTTCCTGTCCCCCCCTACGTGGCTTCTCCCCCCCCGCCAGCTCGCCGAGCATCAGTCGTTTCGGGAGTCGCCCGTCCGGCTGCCTTGCCAGTGCTCCCGCGAACAGTAGGCGTCGTTGTCGGATCGTGGCTTCAACGCTCTGGCATTCGACCCTCTTCAGCGTCTGGGCGTACGAGAGCTGCCGGTAGGTGTCTTTCTTGCGCTTGTACCCGATAACTCGAAGGAGCAGTCGGTGGTGTGTCGACCGCAGCGTCTGATAGTGGCCGCTGAGTGGTGACCATGTCATGCAGCCGTACAGCAGTGCCTCCATCGCCTCCGCCTGGAGGAGGCGGATCTTGAGTCGGAATGGCGCTTTCGGTCTGTCGAAGAGCTCCTGGCCATATCGCCTGAGGCACGCCCACGCTCCTCTGCTCCTGTAGCTGGTCTCCCGGGTGAGGTCGCCATGTTCGTTGACGAGGCCACCGAGGTACCGAAACTCGGTCGTCTGGGCGTATTTCTGTCCCGCGGCTTCGATAGTCAGTGGTGGAGGAGGAGGCGGGGGGGACAGTCGGCTTGTCCTTCGCGCGCATCAGGAGCGTCTCCGTCTTCTTCTCCGACACCGTTAGCCCGAACTCTCCGAACACCTCAACGATGATGGTCATCATTCTCGCCAGTCCTTCTGCAGACCTCGATACGACGCCGGCATCATCGGCATACAGCATCCCCCATACTGCCCTCCGTACTCGGTCAAGGGGTGTCTCCTCCCCCCCCCCCGCTTCCGTCTTCCCCTCTTCCAAGCACACCAGATTCCGCAGAACAACATCATCCTCGCTGAATCGGATAACGACGACCTCGAGGACCTCGGCGAAGAAGATGCAGTGCCACGACTCGATATAGTGGCAGTATTGAGGAAAACATGCTTTGGTGTGCACGCTACCGGTAGCTGTGCTTTTGCCTAAACTCATAGGTGTTTTATGCCTAGTACTACCTAGGGGTGACTCTTCGGGGTTGAGCAGTTGTGTGCTGCAGTCTCCACATGACAACGCAGATCCTACCCATCATGTGAAATGACAATTGATCGTCCAAGTGACTGCGAGACTTTCTGTGCTCACAACCTACCTTTGTGTGCAGGTATACTGCAAACCACGACCAAACGCATAGCGGCAAATTCACCCTTTTTTGTCTGGCGGGCAATCTAGCATGGGATGCAACACAAGGAAAAAACAAAAAAAAAATAACTGTACTTGACTGTACGCGAAAGCAACTGGAACAGCCAAGCATTGTAAACGCTCTGATGTCCAATGGCCGAGTCGGTCTAGTGGCATGTGCGCGACGAAGGCCATATTTGGCTTGCGGAGGAAATGCCCGGCCTCGCCAATTGCACACTACTGTACTATGTGTAATCTCCTAGAGGGCCAAAAAGCGCAGAAATCCTATGTTTGTAGTCGCAACTGTTGGGGGGGATGAGATGCCCGAAATGCCATTATTGAGGGACACGTCCTCAATGGTCCCTCAATAATGGCAACATGCCACTATATCGGATTGAGATTGAGAGGAGGAGGAGGAGGAGGAGCGTAAGCTCGAGGGGGCGTGTACGCACCCCGTAACGGTGTTTTGCGAAGTTTGCGTGGTTTTACGTGCGGTAATGTTTGTTAGCACGTGGTAGGCGGAAAACGCTCACCATGATTGCGAGCTCCCACATTTATTCCGCGGATTACGGCGAACGTTGGACTTCTCAGTTCACGCGCTCGGAGGTGTGATGCTTCCGTGGGCTTTGAGCATCACCGAAATTTGATTTGATGATGTGGTGGGGATGATGTGGATGATCTTACACACCGACCAAGCTCCTCTCCTTTAAGGTTAGGGTTAGGGTCAGGGTTAGGGTTAGGGTTAGGACTTGGATGTAACGCCGCGGTTGTGGTTGTGGGGCGGAAAACCGGTGTGCTTTTTCTGTTCGCGTCCATGCATACCTGCAAATACAGCGTTAGACATGTGAACTGGCTGGTTTTGTTTTTGGCCAGTTCTGCCCCAGAGTCGGCGGGCGACCGCGGAACCCACACGCACACGCGAGACTTAGTCTAGTTAATCACTGAAACTTAATGTACCTCCCGCTTGTCACAGCAACACTGTCGTGGCATTTCGCATCGCAAACGTGCACCTCATTAATAAGCCTTGCGCTGTCGCGTCGCTGGTCTGGACAGGTTGAAACCGCCACCGCCGTGTCCCAGCCCTCTGTGGATGCCTTGTTGGGTAATGTCGGCGGCATGCCCCCCAACACCACCCGAAGGGTAGTATTGACAGGGACCGACTTCAACGCGAACGGCACCAAGTTGTACTTCGATCCTCCCGCTAGCAGGGTTACGTATCGGGTGAGAGGGAACAAATCCAAATCGGCTCTCATTCGGGGTATCTTCAACTGTGAGTGTGATGTTGGTTGTATATGGAAATGCGAAGAGAAATACCTTTTGTCCGTTGTGTTATTGTCTCCCTCCTTTGCCGTTGTTTCTCCTGCCCCGCCATCGGTCGTTGTGTCCCTCTTTGGTGTCGCTCTACATTGTATTGTTGTCGGTGTCGTTCGCGCTTTTCTTTGTCGTTCTCTTGTTGCAGGTTCTATCGTCAACCCGGATCGCGCTGTTCGTCAAGGATAGGAGAACGTTGTCCCCGACGGTTGCGAAGAACGAGCCGTTGAAGATTGTTGCGATCGACACCGGCGCAGGCGCAGTGCAGATCAACCCTGAGGATGGAGGTCTTTTTATCGGCTCTATTTCTGCTGGAGTTGAAGACGGTCACAAACAGGCAAGTTCAGATCAGCGCACGCGGGCACAGTTTTTGGATTATTGCGGGAACTGTCGCATAAATATATGCTTATTATATAGTATCAAGAAATGAAAGAAATGGACGAGTCGATAACCCAATGAGCTACGGCAACCTTACACATTTCGCAACCTTCCCCGGCTCGTTCTTTCTGGGGCAGGTCGACACCACCGTCGGTCCCCCGCCCATCGTGCGTCCGTCCTCGGAAGCAATTAACCGGTGGCCGGACATGCCGCTGTGGGTGCATGGCGCCAACTTTAGCATGGAGTACACAGAGCTGTATTTTGATCCTCCTCTGCCTGAGGAACTGATCGAGGTTTATGAGGTAGGGGAGGAGACGTGGTTCTAGGTATATAATTGTAGCTTGTGATCAATTTATGGTCAAGTCCCACTGCTCACCGTATCGTTTTCGCTGTGGCAGGTTAGTAGGCCGGACTTGTGGTCAGTATTGTGTTGAAACACAATGATCTCGATCCGGGACCTCTCAAGGTGGTCGCGATCGACACCGGCAGCGGCGTGGTTCACCTCACCCCCGAGGACGGAGGCATCGTGGTCGGTATGGTTTTGTCGACTCTATCAAGCAGCGAAATCACGGTGAAAGAAGACGAGAGGTTGCACATCTACCAGTCGACGAAGCAGTTTCAGATCACGGGCAGCGGGTTCAAAGACAACACAAAGGCGAGCCGTGAGCACTTTTGCCGACGTGTTGTCTTTCTATCACCCCTGGGTCGTCGGTGACAACGAAGCGTCCACAGCTTGTAAGAGATGGACTAAGATATTTATCCAAGGCATGCCATCTAGCTATCTGCTAAGCTGGCTGCTCCCGTTCCCTTTTTTTCCGGCTGTGTTCGAGAAGAAATATTGCTTAACCAAAGTGTGGGCGGGGTGTAGGTTCGTGAAACACGTGGGCGTATATTCCTTTTCGGCGACAAGATGCGAAATGGATGAAATTGATGGAAGCTGATTGCTCCGCAAATATTTCCGATCCCCCATTTCTCGCGGAAGATTCGAGCGTGTTCAATGACGGAGGCGATCGCTTAGGTATTCTGATTCCACCAAGGCGCCGCTGTGCTGTAGCGAACCGGCTGCCAGGAGCGTGCTTGAGGCCCTCTCCAACTGCCACTCACTGAACTGCTGTGCGTGTTTTGTTTGGGTGGCGCTTGTTGTTGCTGTTTAGGTAATGTTCATGAGTGGTTTGTGCGGGGGTGAGATAAGTTCCACTATCCACACCAAGGTCGGCGAGCAGCCGGACGAGCTCACGCTCGAACTGGCCCAGGGGTCCACCTGGTACAATCAGGTACGGGTTGGAACTGGCGCGCATACACACACCGGGATGCTTTGAACGGAGGTTTGGTTAGTTCCTGCGGCCTGCTGCCGCTGTGACTTTGCCGCAGTTTGCTGTTTCCGAGTCTCGAGGCTTGCATATATTTTCTCTGTTCCTACCCATGGCCGTTTTGGCAATTCATCAACTCCGCCGGGCCGGCGGGAAACGGCCGACTCCACCGGCAGGATCCTGCCTACCTCCCTCGACCGCTGGAGTTGAAGAGCGTGGACGACGGCAAGGGCTGGGCGCAGCTTGGTCCGACCGACGGCCCGGGCAAACCCCTAACTGTTGCCATCGTGTTCGAAGACCCGAGCATCGATGCTTCGGACACTGAGATTTTCCATGGACACACAACGGACCTGGTTGTCAAAGGCACCAGTTTCCGTCACCGGAGAATCATAAAGCGGGACGGCTGGGTCTACCACACGGTACCGCCGATCCTGGTCTTCGACCCGCCCATCGACCCGGGAATTGTCAAAGTCCTTGTCAACGTAAGCTGTCGTGGTGTTTGAAAAGCTTTCAGTTTTTAACACGAGGAGAGGATACGATCGTTTGACATTGCGACAACTAAGGCACGGCCTGTCATGTTTCGTACGTTAACCCCTTTGACTGCATGCCGCGCATCGGGCAGAACACGATAGGTTCTCGGCGTTTTAGCTAGACATATTCCATCAACAGCGAGCGAGCGAGCTCCTCCGTCATCCTTTCTTTATAAATCTGTGGCGGCTTCCAGTTTTCCTCGCTCGACTGGTCGGCGGTGCTGATTCCTTGTCTCGGTTTGCCCCTCTGGACTTGTGTTTTGTTTTGGCATTGATCCCCTCTCCCTCCCTTCCAAGACGAATCGCCAAGTCACGGTCGCCTTTCAGCAGCGAGATTATCCTCAGTGGGCACCCACAGACTACTTCGGCCCCCTGAAAATCAAGGTAGGCCCCCCCGTGAGCCGAGGTTCCGTTTACCCCGCTTTATCGGGAGGAAATGACTGGCACACGCGATTGAATCAGACCTCCCGCGAATGGTTCTAGCCGCCGATCTCGCTCGGATGTTTGCGAGTCAGCCCCCTTCCCGCTGCCGTCGATTACTTCTTAGGTTACCCGTCTCGTAAGACGCACTTCCTTGTTTCCGGAGTGAAATTCGTTTTGTGGCGTGGAAGTTGTATTTTCTCGCCCCCACCTTTCTCGCCCCCCCGCGTTTGTCATCGGGGTTGGGTTTTCGTCGCTTAGCAACGACGTTGTAAAACAAGGCGATCACTTCGTGAGCTCGGCTACCAGGTTACCGTGTTTTTTTGCCCCTGTTTTTTTTTGTTGCTGTAGCCACATGGTGTTCGAGTAGGTTATGTTGTACGGTGTCGAGAACCCTTACTCCGTACGAAGTGGATGATCGCACCACGTTGTGTTAAATTTGTCAAGCACCCTCGAGCCAGTGACACATTGTGGAAGTGAAAGCATCAGAATACCTGAAGTCATACGCAGCTGCCATCCGTACGTGAGGAAGTAAGCACAAGATGCCGAACACCCTTCGCACGATGCAGCGTACCCTTCATGCGACTCGCCGAATACCTCACGGTGCTTCGCGCATGGTGATGTGAGAGCCTGGTCCGGTGAGAACCCGGCGTGCTCCGTCCCGGCTTTGTAGGGATGTGAGGTGAATGGTATAACGACTACGGCATGCACGACTATGAGTACACCCCCCCCCCCCACCTAAAAAGCAGCGCGCTGCAAGGCTAAACACGTACCTCATAGAAGAAAAGAAAGTTGGTGCTTCTGCTGCCAAGAATCACAGCCGAGCTGTCACGTAGTCCTATGGACCATACTATACTCCTGCTGAACACGGGGTAGCTGTGTTCTTTGCGAAATCAGCAACAAACACACTCCAAAGAAGTTCGATTCCGAACTGGTCTAGGAGCAGCCTCTATCTTCGCGCTTGTAGTGCAGTGTGTGTTCCTTGCATTGCCGTTGGTTTGTAGAACGCCGAGGCACCATGCGGTGTGCTCGAGTTTCTTCCAGTTCCGCTCCGTCACACCTCGATAGCGCCCCCTATTCTAAATGATTCGCACATCGCAATCTTCCCCACGTTTTACGTCTTGCCTGGTCGCCATTGAACACTCCCAACCTTGCCCCCGCTCATCCCATGGGTGCCGGTTTCATTGTTATGCTTGGATCAACCGATTGTCCAGGGAATGGACACTGGCGCCGGCATGGTGGTGTTGGACCCACCCGTCACGGTGGCCAATGTCTTGCCCGGCAGCCCTTACGAGTTTTTCATGTTGAAGCGAATCAATCAGGTATAGTTATCGTACATCGAACGCTTTTCTGTTCTTGCTGTGGTGCGCCAGGCAGAGAGTGCGCTTGTAAAGGTCAACTAAACCCTCCTCTCCCCAAGGAGAGGGAACATCGACCCAACATCGGCGGGGTCTATTCCTTCTCTCTCTCTCCCTCTCTCTCCCCCATCCTTTCTCTCCCTCTCTCTCTCCCTCTCTCTCTCTCTCCTTCTCTCTCCTTCTCTCCCTCTCTCTCTCCCTCTCCCTCTCTCTCTCCCTCTCCCTCTCTCTCTCCCTCTCTCTCTCTAGAAAGGCTTGAGTGTTAAATGGTCTAAATTCCTCCATACACCAACCGAGTACGCCCCCCTCACCCGCACCCGCACCCGCACCCCCTCGCCCAAACCTGCGTTGATTTCTTATTCTTCTCGCCGGTCCTTTTGGTGTGTTGTCCGATGTTGCCGTTATATCATGATGATTGCGTGCTCCTAGTTGCGGGAGGACGGCGCAATCAAGCATTACCAGGAGCGTGTTGACCAGGCAGCACGAGAGTGGCGAGCCATGACTTCCGCGGAGAAGGCTCAGGTGAGAGCCGGTGTTGTCGTCAAACCCCCTCGTGGATCCGCACGAGGTCGAACTGCTAATTGCTTAGCCAGAGGTATTCGCCAACCGTATAGTTTCAGTTGTACGGTTCCCATGTGTTGCTGTTGTCGACGTTGCGGTTTTGTGGTTTGGGTAAATATAGATCGATCACGATGTTCGTGCATCTTCGTGATACTGCGGCTGTTTTCTCCAACGCACATATCTCAAAAAGAGGGCTTGACGGTTGCGACCAAAGCGAAGGACGTACATGCATGTGCATATCACGTCGGAGGGTAACTTCGAGATTTTTCTGGCATGAGTGATTGGATCTTGGCGACGGGCTTGGCGCTGGATGCGATGTACATGACTCTGAGAACGAATACCTCACGAAAAGATACACGAGAGAAGTCGTTGAACGACGTGCACCAAGCATGGACAAACATATAGAAACGAGCTTGCCGGAGCTCCAAATAATTTGGCCCGTTACTGTTTTTCGAAGTGTTCACTTCAGAAGCGGGGTGTCACGCTATGAGGCGCATTCCACGTCTCGGAGAGGTTGGGGTTGAAAAATGTGAACTCGCGCCCATTGTTCCAAGCAATGTGCGCTCCAGTCTGAGCAAGGCAGGATTACACGACCCCGTCACTCACACCTCGGAACCTACCCCCCTCTGGTCTATGTAGGCCGCCGGCGCGCTCGTGCCCACGCCCTCTGTGGAGGCGTCGTCCGCGAAGATGTATGCGAGGAAAATCTACCATTTCGTCGTGGACGGTACCAACTTCTTGCCGAGGAGCAAGCTGATGTTCGACCCCCCGCTCCACGAAGACCAGGCGTTTAGCCAAAATGTGGGAGAAAGTGTTGTCCTTCGTGTAGATCTTTGGTAGACTCACGCGTCGAATCTTCGGTGTTGTTTCTTCAACTTTCTTTTTGCGTCGTTCGTTGGCTTGGAGGAGGTGCGTTTCGTGCTCGCAGACCCTTTGGCGGACCGATGCTGTGTCTCCGCCTGTTGGTTGTGTTCCCTTGGTGATGGCCTAGGCCTGCTCATGTTATGCTTTTGTGCTGTTGTTGCTGGCTGCAGTTTGTTTCGGCGACCCGAATCGAAATCTCCTGCATGAAGATGAGTTGTTTTTTGGCGGAGCCGCGAGAACTCAAGGTGGTCGCGATCGACACCGACGCCGGCTTGTTTCGGCTCAACCACGAGGACGGGGGCGTTGTGGTTATCACGGTCAAGCCTGGCATCACGGTGCAGCAATACGAGAACTTGCTGATCTACCAGTCGACCAAAGAAGTTCGGATCGCTGGCAGCGGGTTTGAAGAGAACATGGAGGCGAGTGAATTTACTGCTGCCGTTGCTTTTTGAGCACACTTCAAGAAGGGTCGACCGAATAGCGTGGAGAGACTGGAACACCGCTTGTTTTTCGTTGCACACGAGGCACCAACCGTGTTGATATGACACGAGGTACCCCTTGACAGTCTACTTCCGAACCGACTTTCTCGAACACAATCAACTTCGGCGGCGTCTTTTGTGTTCGTCTTCGTCCACGTCGAGCGGCACGTTTGCTAAAGGACGGGCGCTGTACAACTCTACAGCTTTCGTGTCGCCCTCAGGCGTTCTCCTCACAATATTTGGTTTGGCAATCGATCAGTGTGTCGAGCAGCACCAACTCGTGAAAGTGTCACTCAACTTGCCGCAACCTTTTTCTGTACAACCGTAGGTAATTTTTGAGGGACCCACGCACGCGGAAGAGGCGAACTTTACCATCACCAGCATAATCCCCCGACGAAATCACGCTTAGCCTAGCAGAAGGGGGCGCCTGGATCAAGGCGAGGACTTCCCCGCAACGGACACGCCTCAGATACTGCGCCTGACGGGCTGTTATTTGTCGTAATCAACACGACGTTGAATCTGGTGGGAGGTCGGACTATTGAAGTCTTGTTTGGAGAGAGCTGTTTACGTCGGTTCACCGCGGTTTTTTTCGGACGTGTCTGCGATGTTTGGTTTTGCTATCCCCCTCCGGTTGTTGCAACCAAACGTGGAACATTTAACGGAAAAGGCTTAAGTTCACCACGGCACTTCGAAAAAACATCTCTCAAGCAAGCTGCTGAATTGTATCTACGCTCTTCGGAAGTCCCATGATATTCGCCTCGTTCCTTCGCGCTAGTTGGTTGTAGGGTTTCAACATATCCCGAACCCACCTACCGGATGCTATTGCCGAACAGGATCCTTCCCTTCTGCCAATGGCCCTGCTGGTGTCGAGTGTTAAAGCTAGCCCCGGAACGGTGGACTTCGGGTTGTTAGGGTTGTTACCTATCGGAAAGGTTGCCACCGTGTTCGAAGACGCGAGCATCCAAGCAAGGAACACCGAGATTTACCGCAGTTCCACGCGCGAGCTCAATGTCTACGGCACCGGTGTCAACAATGTGGTTCAACCGATCCTGGTATTCGCACCGCCCCTCGACGACAATGCCGTCAACGTCCACGTGAGCAGCGGTCGAAATCTGAAAAGCTCCTGCTGCCGCTGCTTCTGCTGCTTGTACATACGATGTTGGAATGTAGAGTACATACCAACGTTGTGTTTTTGCCGTTCTGGTGGGGTAGCCTAGTCGGTTATCTGACAGCAATTGGATCCACGTTGAAACGGAACGATTGTTCATCATGAACGAGTGCGAGCTAAGAAACCCTGTGTCAGCCTATCATTAGAGTCATTGAGGTAGCGCGCTCTTCTAGCATTGGTGGCTCACACATTTTCTGTCTCTGCTTTTGCACACCCCTCTCTCCCCCTGACTCCACCACCCAACCCACACGTTGAAGGTGGTGGGCCGTACCATGATCCGCCTGACTCTGTTGGCCGCCCAAGCTGACTGGACAGCAACTGAGGACTATCTCGGCCCGCTGAAAATAGAGGTGCAGCACGCGGTGATTTTTTCTGATCGTAGTGAACCTATGGCTGTGCAACTTGCGCCAAGTCCTCGGCACTGTCTCAAGTTGGTGGGCGGGCCGCCATATGATGAGCGCGGCGCCGCTGTGCACCACGTGTCCGTGTGTCATGGCTGTTTTGTTACCCAACCAAAAGCTGCCTGTGCACGCTTTCGGTCGTGCTTCGTCGGTATAAGTGCATACCTTTGCCCCTGATTCGGTACCATCGTGTACGCATCTCTCCTCAGCAAAGGGTTGACAACCAAAGCGACATTCCAGCATTTGGTGCCACCACTTTTCGTTTATTTTCCCTGCGATCGATCCACACTATTATATTTCTACCACCACGAGTCATGCGTTGCCTTGTCTCCAGCGTACGAAATATTTGCATCCGTGCAGGTGACAGCGCGATGGTATGAATTGTGGATTTTATTCGAAATGTACACGAGAAATATGAGACTTCTCGTTCGTAATTGAGTGTACATGTTTGTTTCTCCCATGCATCATCACCAGGGAATCGACACTGGCGCCGGCATGATTTTCTTCGACTCCCCGGTGACGGTGGCAATTGTGTCTCCTAGTATCGGCACGCACTACGACAACGTCGCGCAGGTGTGTGAGCAGCCTTCCCTCGCTGCCCTAATTCGTGTACCGTGCCAGTTTCGTGCACGGGCTGCCGTGTTTGGTTTGCAACAACCCAACCGTTTCAACAACTATTGCCGCCGTGTGTGTTGCCTACTGTTGTCGTGGAAGTTCATGTAGCTGCTGCTGCTATCGTTGCAACACGGGCACCGCCGAAACGGTCGGAACTATCCTACATGTAAGCACAACAATCACAAAGTGCCTTTTTGCACCCACGTCGTGGCTGAACACGGTTGGCCAGCCAATATTCGGGAGCTTTGAGGTCTAGGGGATGCGGGCGCAGGGGCACATACATAGCGCTCCGCCCGTCTGAAAGTGTGGACCTGAACATACTTCTATTTTGGCGACGGAAGCAAGTCACATCACCGTGGAAGTGAATGGTGTTCCTTGACCGCACGACATCGCGTGAATGCACCGATACCACTCACCACACATGTCACTCTGTGCCCCCCATGGTGCGGGCACAGGTCGCCGCCAACATCGACACCTTGCCCTATGTGGAGTCCTCCTGGGCAGATATCTTTACGGACAGTGTCAACCACGGTATACTTCTGAAGGGTACCAACTTCAGTCTGAGGCCCAAACTTTAATTCGATCCGGCCCTACCGGAGGACGCGGTTCAGCAGGTATGGGAGGAGAAGTCAGTTAGTTACCCCCGTCAAACAATAGTGCTGATGCCGCGATCAACCCCGCCGGCGGTGTCCTTCTCTGTCGTGTCGAGTCGGTGGTAGAAGATTGAAAACTTTCCGTTTATCGAGATCTCAACTCTCGCTTTCTTCACGCTACCAGGTGGCCGTCCCTTTTGTCTCTCCCCCTCCCCCCAGTCTCCAGTCGTTTCCTGAAAACCTTCCTGCTTGTTGTTTTCGATGCTGCTCCTGTTGTCACTGCAGTTCATTTCATCGACCTATATCGCCATCACGAGGAACTTCAGCTGTGCCATACCACCTGGCCCTCATGTACCGAGCCCGTGGAGGGCCGAGCCAGGACCGCTCAAGATCGTCGCGATCGACAACGGCGCCGGCCGAATACCGCTGAATCCGGAGGACGGAGGCGTTGTGTTTGCCACGGTGTTGCCCATTGTCAGGATTAAGGATAACGAGGATTTGCACATTTACCAGTCGGCCAAGCAAATCCAGGTCGCCGGTGGCGGTTTCGACAACGACATCGAGACGATCAATTTTTGGGTGGTGGGTGATCCTGCGGCCTCGTTTCATGCTGTTTAGTCTTGGTTCTTTCAACTCTGTGCGGAAAGGCTACAACTACTCCGTATTTCCTGCACGTCTTCTTTGCATTGTCCTAGCTATGTCTCGAGAAACCCGGAGCATAAATCGGGCAGGTTATTGGTGTGTTCTCTTTCAGGTGCGATTGATCTGCTGCGCTTGATGAATCAGAAGTTAGACCAGGTTGGGGAGAAAAGCTAGCTCTCTGTGGTTGATGCGCTTGACGCATGTCGCGAGGGTGGCCCTAACGCCTGAATGCTTTGATATCGCTTGCTCACAATCAATCGTTCTCGGTGTCAAAGGTTCCCCACCTGGGAGGAAAGGTTTTCCACGTGGAAGGTGACGACGACGAAGCAGGGGCTGGTGACGTCGAAATCGACGCTTTGTCCGCCAGTCAGATGACGATAACGCTAACCGAAGGCAGCGTGTGGGTGAAGGTACGGATGCGTAGCGAGCAGAAGCACGACCTGCATTACATCGTAGGTTCTCAACTGTTCAAAGTCTAACACAGCCGACATAAAAGGCTCCAATGCAGTACAGTCGGGAACAGGTCGGGATTTGAACGGGTTACCGCTGCGAATGTACCGTGGTTGGACACCGAGACATCCATCGTTCGCAATTTGATGCTTGTGGACTGACACGTTCGGCATGGTTGTTGGCCCTCCGGTACTTCGTTCGTGGCGTCTCAGTTCTCATAGACCTGTATTGCAATCGAATTGACGTTGACATCACAACAGGACCTTAACGTATTGCCGGGAGTGCTGCGGATGGGTTGTGAAGTCAGAGTTGAGATCGAGTCATCTTTTTTTCTGGGCAGCGGGTCCTCGTTGTTGTTCTTTGGAGGACCTATCGCCACTGTTTTCGAGGAACCAAGCATCGACGCGTCGGACATCGAGACCAACCGCACTGGTTCGCAAGAGTTGGAGATTTGGGGCACCGGCTTCAACAACATGGCTACGCCGGTGATGGACTTCGACCCACCGCTTGACTTCGCGAGTCTCCATGTTAATGTGAGCTGCTGCACAAGAGTTCGGGAGCGTTAATCTAGCTCGTAGTGCAATGTCAGTGATCTTTGCATCTTTGCTGCCAACTCAGTATGACGAGCCTGTAGAATTATTGCTTGGGGTGATTTGGGTTGGCTTGTCATGTTAATTGGCCCCCTGTTCTGGATGCTGCTGTTCTGCACACTGCTGTGCGCGATAGCGTCGCCTCGTTTTCCACGTGCTCATTTTGGACGTGCCAAGCATGGATCACATACAAATGGTACCAGGTATGACTTGAAGTTACGGAATTCACCAATATCACGATTCAACGTCGGCAGTACGATACCAGGGCATCACGGCACAATGTGCAACATGTTTTTGTTTATTTTGGCAGCAGGGAGCGAGCTTGAGGTCCTGGGCGTACCCATGCTTACCTTAACACCCCTTGTTCTTTCCACGATTGGTCGGTAATGACGTCATCGATGTCCTGTGGTACGTCGCGGTGTCATTGCCTGTCAACCTTCCTTTCCAATGTCTCGCATTTTGTCGCACGCAATTGTTGTTTAGGTGGTGAACCGCACAACGATCCAACTGACATTGGATACCGCCCAATCTGGGTGGGTGCCCGTGGAACAGCTCGGCCCGCTGAAGATCAAGGTGCTGCTGTCATTTGTTCGGCGTTATTTTGGTCCTGTTCCATGTTCCAGTCCTCTACTTTCGTCACCGCTACGAACGGCCCGGAGATTGACGATGTTACCGAGCGTTTCGATCAATGTATTCGATATCCACGATGTATCAGCTCTGGTATGCCGCCGTGTTCCGAACTTTCTCGCTGTAACGATTTTTCATCAGGGGGTGGATACCGGCGCCGGCATGGTGGTGTTTGACTCCCCTGTTACGGTAGCCATTGTGGTACCCGACTCCCAGCCCTTCTTCAACCAGGTCAGCCGATAGCCTCAGTACCACGCGAGGAAGGCATCCGTCCCCACTGTTCGTATGAGAATCGTTGCTCACTGTGTATTATTCGTTGTGCTTGTTGCTTGCTGCTTGTTGCTTGTTGCTTGTTGCTTGTTGCTTGGTGGTGGTGCCGTCTGTAGCATGGTATTCTTGTGAATTCGGCACCGCTTGATTGAAGACCTCAATTGAAATCAGCTTCTAAGCGTCTTCAAAGTATACCAACCCAACCTTCAGCCTATACAGGGTTTGACGTTTGCATTCAGTGAAGTGTATCGTACGAGAGGCACCATACCTCAGGAACTACAACAGGTAGTTCGGAGTATTTTTATCTTTTTCAGATGCATACCTCCCCCTTCGGGTCTCCTCCTACCGCTCCAACTCCTCTCGTGGCTCACCCTTGTGACTTCTCCACACAAGCCCTTCATGTCTACCCTTCTGGATACTACAGTCTTTACATCATTCACACTTTTATCATCGGTCGGTTATTCTACTTCTAGGGTTAGCAAAACACTTGGCTGTTGGCGGTGAGGTACCCTGAGCCATTCCTATAAACACGAAGAGGCGCACAAGACACCTTGAACGAAGGCATGCCGTATTCCAGTGTGCTGTAGGATTTCGCGGGCCTGTCGTACCGTGTGGCGCAAGATCTACACTGGAGGGATTTTCCACCCGGGACCGAAGTGGGAACTCAACCACCCTGCGCTCTCTAGTGACCACCCGCCGGCAAGTGCGCACTGTCGATCGACACCGCTTGAACTACATGCATCAGCAATGCCGGCAGGATTTGTTCCTCGTTCCGTGAGGATTATTCCCGACTAACGATTTTGTTCCCCCCCCTACTTTGTTTTGGCTCGTTCTTCGTTTGCATTGACCGAATATCCAGGGTTTTCACGTTGATCTTGATGCCGTGGAGCTCAATTCCCGTAAGAGCGCCACGCCTTCCTTGCACGAGGAAGAGAACGCTGCGGAGCCCGAAACAGAAGAATTCGGCGAGAAGGTCTGCCGTTCACCCCTTATTCGTTGTTGCAGCCTTGTTCCAGAATTGGGATAGCAATCACACGTTTGTGTAGACATCAGGCACCAGGTTTGCTTTGATCAAAGGAGTCATCCATGTGCCCTTTTGATTATCTCTTTCTATTTTTCTATTTGAGCGCCATAAGCACCGCCAAAACTTCAAGGTGGGTACATTTTTCTGCACGCACGCACCCCACCAAGAAAATGAACGATTTCGTGAGATCAGGCCGTACGGCGGAACTATTGTAGTAACATGCGAAGCAGCAACCACGGTTGCCGACACCTGCAACGGTTCAACTTTAGAGGTGTGTGTTCCATTGCGGAAGATCGACAAAACAGATTGTACACATGATGACGGTAGCCTAGAGCGAGGAAAGCCCCGCAGAGCATGGTTAGTATTTGACGGTGTCTTCGAGTGGAGGCTTAGTTTCCTTTGCCGGAGATTTCGGGGTATATTACGCGTTCATACGATTTCCACACAATAGCAAGGTCGTGGAGATCTCGTTGTTGCTGTGGGTGATAGGTGGGAAACTGACACCGCCCATACCCCGACACTGGTTATCTATACCATTTGATACCGATTCGTCGTAAGATTGAAAACGATTTGATCACCATGAGACGGTGCTGCTGCTTCATCGAACATCGCAATCAACCGTACCACAAAGCAGCACAGAGCTTGCCTTGCCCGTGCTCTCCTCCCTTGGGGAATGACAGGTCGATGGCACCGTTGTGCCTACGCCCTCCGTGGAGGCCTCCTCGACGGTCATCTCCATGGGCTCCACCGACAGCCTCGCCGTGAAAGGCGACAACTTCGACATGGCGACCAGGCTGATATTCAACCCCCCTCTGGGGACGGGGTTCGAGATGCGGGTAGGAAGATGCCGAATCTATCGACACAGCTCGACCAACTGTGGCGGCGTCTCGTGCCTGTCTGGGTCGTGCTCTTGGTGCATGACGTTGTAGTATGCATGCTCGGAAAGTTTTCCCCCGGTGCGTTTTCCCTCACCGCGGGCGGCATATTTCCTCTTTTCCCGTTGAGTTCTCCCCTCCTTTTTCTGTTTTGCTGTACACGTTGCTGCCAAACTAGGTGTTTTCGCGAACGGAGATCGACACCTTTACTAAAACTGTGATCGGCCGGGCGCCGAGCACGTGGGGGGCCGAGCCCGGTCCGCTCAAGGTCGTTGCGATCGACACCGGCGCCGGCTTGGTGCAGCTCAACCCCGAGGACGGGGGCGTGGTGGTGGCTATAGTCCGATAGCACCCAGGCCTCGGTTGCGTTCCGGGTGGCACCGTGTTCGTCTCCGGTGCCGATGTTTTCCCCGCGTTCAGCGTCAGCTTCAGGTAGAAATTGTGCTCCAATCGGAGACGCTTCCTCCACCTCGTGGGCTATACCCCTTGTTGTGTAGCCGTTTTTTCGCAACCGCTGGTCGGATTTGGCTGCCCCATACAATAGCTTGCCGGATAGCCCTGGCTCGTGTTGGCACAGCAAGTGTGATTAGCTAATGGTATTCTACCTGCAGACACATACGTCCGCGTCGAAAGGTGTTCATACTGCACCGGTCCACCGCTTACCGCACTTTGTTTTATTTTCGTAAGTCAGGATTGCCTCGGGATTGTATTGGTCTTTCCTGGACACATAATGGTGAATCCAACAAGTCTAGTTTGGAGGTTTTCCCCGCGGTTTAGTCAACGCTGGATTCTCGGCGTTCAGCATGGTCAGTACATCTATTGCTGTGCTCGTACTTCTTGTCCAATAGTTCTTTGCTATTACCGTCTGGTTGGTTTTCCCAGATCTGAAACACCGGCGAGTTTCAGTTGGATGGACTCCTCGTGGAGTGTAGGCGTGGAATTTTGCCCCACCCTCGAAAACGTCTACAAGGGGGGCACCTCGGTGCTAGGGTTATTGCCAGTCCCCGCCTTGACTACAACTGCGTCCGCAAAAGCCGTCTAGACAGCATCGGACAAACTCGCCAGATCTTCTGAGGTGAGGCATTAGCTGAGGGCAGTCGCCATCTTCGTTGCAATTGCGCCCACGCAAGACCCACCCTGAAAGCTTCGGATCTCAACTTTTTCTTTTCAACAAATCTTTCCAGCGGTGCTTTCGCAGCAGTTGTACCATAAACCAACTGACGCAGGTTATTACTCTTCAAAACGGCAGCGTTATTATTGGTAGATAAAACTGGCCAGCGCAGTTCACTTTATCGGTGGAGACTCGCCATTGCAAACCACGGGGGCGCCCAACTGATGGGTCGACTAGCCGGCATGCCCCCACACCCCCTCGACGACTGCTGCTTTGACCTTGGTCACGTCTTCGTCAGATAGCCCTGTCTATCAACGTGCCAGGCGTTGTATAGATGCCTCGTATTGATCACGAATCCCGTTTGAGTTATAACTGCTTTCCAGGCTCCTTTCCAATGTCGCCAAATGGATATGACGAGTGCGACTTGCTGCCCAGGGTTGAATAGAAAACCCGTAGCCTGTACCGGGATAAACCGAGGGTGACCACCGTAGACATCCGTGGTTTGGATCACACCTATCTTCAACGCAAGAATCATATTGACTGCAAACGCCACATCGTTCAACGTGGTAAGTTCGAAGCTTAGACTAGACGTATAATTTCAGCCACCAATGCCAATGGAGTCTAATCGTTCATGCCATTTATGTGGGAGGTGATGCACACTGCCATGGCAATCACCGCTGTCCGTGGGACATGATGCACACCGCAATATACGCGAGAGAGGTCTAGAGATGCACCGCAATATACCTAGAGGTTCCCCAAAAATTGGGGTCTAGGGGGTCGCCAGTAAAAAGCAAGCACCAAGGATTTTGTGACAGAATTCCAGCCTCGCTTACAAAGACCATCATTTCGTGATGAGACAGAAAAATTGTGACAGAATCTGAGACTGATTTTCTCTATGCTCAGGATACCTCACCTAGGGTACAAGTTCCTGTGACGAGGTACGGTGGACAGCGCCAACAGCACCCCAAGAGCAAGAAACATTGCCACGGCACCCCCCGAAGTCGCCTACAACAATCATAGTAGAAGAGCACAGCTCGCACAATAAACGACAGACCACGATCACTCCCAGCGCGGCGAGATCGCTTCCTAACCCGTGCAGACAGCATCCCTCACACCGCCGGTTATAGGCTTGGGAACAGGTCTTCGTTGAGATAGTCCTGCGTTTCAAACCCCAAGGAATGTGCGACAGGATCCAGGACGATGGCAGGGCAAAAACAAACAGTCCACCCCGCCCTCTTACGCATGGTTACGGCCATGGCCCCCAACCCCCTAGAAATCTGCACGAAAAAAACGCTACTTATTCCTCTAGAGGTCATTCAAGAACTCCCTGCAGCTTGTTTGGTGTAACAGGGCTGATGTTTTGAGTTCGTGTTGGCCCGCTGCTTCTACAAGGCACTTGATTCAACCACGGTGTGATTGTCATCATTTCTTCAAAGCGCAGCCAGCCGATTCCAGCATGGGTACCAGCTCGCCCTTGTCCATCAAGGTGAAGACGCCTGGGCCTGGTTTCATGGTTCGTGGTTGAACGGCACCAATTACACGAGGACGGGTGTCGGGGTGAAGCACACAGTGAAAGGGGGTTTCGGTGTATGCATAGGAGGAGGTGACATATCAGGGCTTCTCCTTACGTGCACGGGCGAGATGCATAATCATGCGCGCGGACTCGTGCAGCGCTCGCCAGCCACGCCGGCCTCGGGGCCAGTTTCGTGTTCGACATTGTCGAAAAATAATCGAGACCGCTGCAGCTCATATACGGAGCGACCGGCGGAGTGCGACCCCCGAGAATTCGGTTCACGTCAAGGCCGCTGAATGTCAATACAAGCGGAAGAAGCGCACGCTGGGAAAACATCAATACCGTATATACACCTTCGAACCCATAAAACGTGTTTCTAGAAACTCGGAACGTCACCACGCGCTTGAGGATGCAATGCATTCAGTTCGATGCATTCCCGAGAGCAGCGTGAGTAAAAGCCCAACGTGCCGTGGTACAGCAGCGAGTGGTTCTCAATTGAAAAAGGAACGAAGAGCAAAGCCCTCGACGTGCGTCAAGACTAGGTGTACCAAAAACCGTATCGCTGCGCGTTGCTCCGTATGGGACATCCTGCCTTGCTATCCAGGTTCACAAGGCCCACGTTTCAAAGCGTACAGGACACATCACGGCTTCCAACCAGAAAAGAGTAGAAACCACTGCAACTAACATTCCCTAGTCGGAGGCGACCAAGCTGCACTTGATGTCCCTGTCCTTACCACACGTCGGAAACCAGAAAATAAGGAGGTTTCGACAGTGTCAATACTTGAGGCCGTAGAATTGTGGCACCCGCCGTGATTGCATTTTGCACGAGAGGTGCGCGGGGCAAGCGCTATTGCCCGACTATGTGTAGAAGAAACAGAGGCAAAGTCAGAGGGCACAAGCCCAAAGAGAGAAAAGAGAGGCAGGTAGACATAGAAAAACAGACAAGCAAAAACCCACAACATTGGCCGCTGCCAGACGAACACCATACTCCCAAAACCGTGCTAAACCTCTGTGTTCAACCTGAATTAAAACACCACGTGCACAGTTCGCACGCACCGTCATTGCAGCCGCCGACAAACTCCCCGCCGATCCAGATCTGCGGCACACTCGTCCTCCCCGTCTTCTGGCTCAACTCGTATCGGATAGCGTTGCCATCTTGCCTCTCGTCCAGCTCCACAAACTGCATCCCCCAGCCCGCAATGACACGTCCGATCCACGTAACCCCCAACATACAAGCCGCGCCAAGCGAGGCCGCCGCAGCCAGAAATGCGTGAGTAAAAACGATATGTGCAGACACGGCCAAGGGGTGGCGATTATTTTCGTCGGGTCACACAAGCACGCTGAGGCGAGCGGACTGCAGAACGAACCAGCGGGGATGGAGAAACACACTAACCGACGGCCGGCATGGGATACTCCTTCTGTCGTGCTGCCGCAGAAAAAAACTCGCTCTTCATTCCAGCACCGCAACGTGTACAGGTGCGGCGGCGTGTTCCAAGGGCTGGCGTACGATGCAAAGGCCCAAGGATGAGTCAGGCTTTCTTCTCACGAGAATGGATACCGTATGTCTCGTTTGGAAATTTGATGGAACGGGTTGCCAAGATACAACAATAACCGAGTGAAAACGACCTCAAGATCCATCAGGATCAGTTCATGAATACTCCAGGCAGCGGGTGCACAATATTGAGCGGGAAAATACCCCGGGCGTTCGAAAACGTAGAGGGGTGGCCAAAAAGAAGAAGACCCATCACAATCGATAGACCCGGGGAATTCACAAGCGAATTCACAAGCGATTGTGTGCTTTGCTGGTGACATTGTTTTAGGGGGGGCATTCACATGGGCGCAGGCATTCACCGAGCATACCATGGAAAGTGAACAGTTTTCGAATCTTGCGTTTTGTTTTTCAAACATCTACGAGCTGGAGCGACTGACGGAGGGAGGGAAGGTGGCCGTTGAGACTCGGCCAAGTTCACTCTCGGTGGAATGGATGGACCTCTAGATAAACGAGTGAAAAAGATGAAGACGGGGAGCCGACTTGCCATGCACCGTGAACGGCGTGATAGAGCTTGCCTCTAACCCACATCGGCTCATTTGTCGCTCTGGTTCTTGATTGACCCTCCAGATAGAGTCATAGTGAATTGAATATCAACGCGGGAAACTGTGTGAGCGGGACGTCGGTCCTAGAGAACGAATGGCGTCCTACGAAATACGAAAAATAACTCGTTCCACGTGCGACCCCGGGGGGGTGAACCACGGTAGGGTCAGTGTTTACGTAAGCTGGTGGCATCAGGAAGGTCACGGGGGGACCTACCTGTGGTTACGGAGATGTGCTATGCGTGGATGGGAGGGAAACCACGACAAACCTGAAGTTCACGCAAACAGTGCCAATGCTATCTGAAAGTTCGCCAAGTGAATTGAGGCGTGGAATTGGCGGTGACGACAAACGGATATAACACCTTCCTGCCCCCTGGCGGACGCCTCACGAATCGATGGCAGCCTCAGCGCAACCCCGATTTCTATGTACACGTCGTGTTGTGACGCGAGCTCTAAGGGCACGTACCTCGTAATCAGCCGGGTCTGCGAGCAGATCCTCAATCAACCCTTTGGCTTTCTTACAAAACGGGCACCTGCAGCGCAACGAAAAAGAACGCGCTCAAGCGAAAAGCCACAGCAGTCGCACACGTCATCCGAGGACAAGCATTGTGTCCCACCGAAAAATGGGCAGTCCTTGAGCAGGCTTTCGTAACCATATCATCCAACAAGGACCGGGCACCAAGATCCCGGGCAAAAACGAGCGGTGTGTTGTACGGCAGTAGATTACCCCATCGTCTCGAGAGAGAACAGGTGAGATGCGCGTTCGCCCGACAAGTATTGGTCGTGGATGACAGGAGCGTGAGAAGCGACGGGGGAAGGAGAAAGTTTTGAAGGGAGTACAAGACCAAGAGCAAGAAAAAGCTTTCTTTCCAAGTGAGTGCGTTTGTTTGTCGCAGGGTGAAAGATTAAGACAGGACGGAAAATGAGATCATGATCTAACGCGCCCATCATGAAGCCAGGTGGCAAGCAATGCTTGTTGAATTGAGCACTAACGGCTCCACTTGACTTTCGACCCACACGGATCACTATATAATTGCACCCATCTACAGTAATAGATCTATCTACGTACTACCCCCAGCTACGGCATAAAAAGGAAAGTGACAACGAGCTTGGGTTCATCGCCATATGTTTCCAAGCACGTCAGACTGCCACAGCAACGCGTTGTGAGGGTGAACGTGTCATGTGTGGCGTCTCCGAAAATAATGCACCAGCGAGACCAGAGCTTGAAGGTGCCGATAGTACGCTCCGTCGATGTCTTTCAGGGGTTGGGGGGGCGACAAATTGTGTCTCCATCGATTCGCTTCAAACTGAGGAGAGGTTGAGCACGCTGGGTGATGTGTACTTCTCTATTAACCCTTGCACGGGTGGAATCAAGCGCACATCGTGTTTCGTCGCATATGTGCAACACCGGCAGTTCCGTCGTTCCGACTAGAATCACCCACCTTGTCCACGAGAAAACGACGACCTTGTTGCTTCCGGACGTGTAACCGTCGACGACCTTGACCACCGCGTCCTTGTCGTAGGGCCCCGCCCCGATCTTGGCAATCCCTTGCTTCAGGACGTCCACGGGGCTCTTGAAGCCCATCGTCGTCGTCCTCGTCGTCCTCCTCACGGATCGGTGTCGCGCGGTGACGCTCCCTTTGCTGCAGGGGGGGCTATTGCTGTAGGCGGCCAGGCGCTGCGCCCTGTATCCGCTGCTCGAAGACCCGTGTGGTGATGCGAGGCTGCAAGACAGGGGGGGGTTGGTGGTGTGGTACTTGTCAAATGAGAGTTCGCTAAATAGAAACATGACGCAAGAATGCAGGCGCGAATACAACGTTTGTGAAACAGGCGTTGGGCGAAGGGATGGGCAAGGCACTGGGGGGTGGGTAGGGATGACGGTGAGGGCTATCCTTGCTGTTGGTCTAGGTTGCGAGGGGAAAAAGAGGTTGATAATGGGGGGCGGGGTGCAATCAGAGTCGTGCAGGTGTTGCCTTCTTAGACCTATCTTTATGGGGACACATTCTTTCGAACAAATCAATCTTGGCAAGATTTGTGCGGAACAACTGTCCGTAATGACACATCGTATCGCAAATTATCAGGAACAATGGTGGTTGTAGAATGTTGAAAAAGGCGCAACTGCCACTTGGTCCAGAAAAGATGCACGATGCAGTCCTAGCAAGCGCCGTTCCTCCCATTGTTGCATAGGCTCAACACTACGGGTGAACTCTGGCGGTGGGCGCCCACCTGGGGTGCAAGAAGAGCCGACATTGCCCGCGGTGTCATGCAGGCGGAGAAACAAAACTGTTCCGTTGCTGTCCACGGCCGAAAATGTGGATAAACCCTAGAGGCGATTGTACCGAGTCCAAACCTTCAGTGCCGTCATCTTCACTCACGTATCTGTTTGGGGTGCAAACGGCTTGGGTGTGAGGTGATTCGATCACGAGATACAAGCATCGCACAAGACTGAGCTGTTGTGGAAAAACATTCCGCCGGCTCTTTTTATCTAATGAATATAGAGTACTCTTTGAACGGTACCTCCACAGATGAAGCAACAGTTCGTGTCACTAGCGATGCTTTTTATCTCTAGATAGAAGTACCCCACAACCACCTCACTTGCGTCCGAGAGAGAACGGTTACGGTAGATGGCAGCATCGAAGGTTTCGCCTCGATGCATCAACTACGGAGTGAGGGATTTGAACGGGCGTTGTCCTCCCTCAAGTTGGAGATGTGTGATCTCCGCTGATGACGCACGCGGTACAAGCCAGAGGGCAAACATGCATTTTCTTCGCGCGCCTTGATCGCTTTTCTCCGCTGTCGGCGCCCGTGGCGTCGACACAGTATAGCCAGGGTGCGTTAGAGGCCCTTTTGAACGTGCGACATGCAGATTTCATAGCGTTATGGACGACAAGTTGACTGACCTGTGGTAATCTCGCGGCAACCACCAAAATTTGTCACGCCCCCACAACCTTTTTCAGAAAGCTCGATGGCACAAATCCTGGGCCAAGACTTGTTCGAGAGGGCAAATTTTGGGCCCCGGACAAGTCGTAATCTTGGCGGAGATTCTTGGGGAAAATTGTTTCCCATAAATCGTGCAACTGACAAATCGCCCAAGATCGAGATTTTTCCCAAAGAATGTGTCCCCATACAGATAGGTCTTAGGTTTCAGTGTTAATTGTCCAAGGAAAACGAGAAGGGAGGGTGAAGAGCAAGGGCGCGATTTTGTTGGGAGCAAGGGGGGAATGAAATAGCAAACCCCATGGTATGGTCGTGAAGGCGTACGGAGTATTGTTGTCGTTTTTCTTCCTCTTTGCGTCGGTGAAGCTTCAACACAGCTGACCAAACCGTAGACCGATTTTATTGGTGGCTGGAGAAAAGAGGAACAAAAAAACAACGCGGTACCGCGTTCTTGACGGCTGTGTGTTTTGCCTGATAGCGGAAGCGGACGGCAGGAATCGCCTGCCGTCAGTGACACGGGCGTCCGTTGTTGTTCGTGGTTGTCAACCAAATGGTTGTCCAGACCCAATGTCGGCGTGCTGACATCGTAACCTGTATTCTATTTGTGTGTACATGAGCATTGTTCAAATCAAAAACGAACCACAACATCGACACATCCGTAAACTACTGTACCAACCTGCAGCAGTACTGCTTAACGCACCTGCCTACGTCTATCTGACCAACCGTATAGCCTTCACAATGTTGACGACTTGTGATCCATCACGTGGAAGTTGGGCCATGGGCCATGCAACTCGCCGTAGGGGTTCACGCCTGCATAATTCACGACCAAAACGTCGCCGAGTCTGGTAACCAACTCGACTTCATGGAGGCAGGGACTGGTATGCCTACATACAGCAGTGTACAGTAGTACACTAGAACCGCTGTACAAGTACATACATAGCTCAGCTGTGCAGGGTGCTCAGTCTCATGATGAGACAAAAAGTGCGGTGCAATACAAATGCCCTTGGGTTCTGTGGCGAGGACATCTGACTTGGAAATGGCGATAGATGGATGAGCTCGACCTGATGTACGCGGCACGCTGGGTAATGACGTGCTCTCGTTCTTGTAGATGTACAGAAACAGGAGCCACCTGATGTGCACCAAAACCCGTCTGTACTCTGTCCAGCAGTTCGCATAGTCAACTTCAACAGCGAGCTGCCGAGATATGTAGATGTGCTCAGTGCTCACCCGTCCATGGTCCTGGCCGCATAAGGGTGCACGAAAGCCGCGACAGGGAACATCGTGGCGGTACCCAGGAGAAAGACGGCCAGGGATAAACAACGCATGGCTCACAACACCAGTGCCGTAGAGCCGCAGAGAGGACAGAAGACAGCGTGTGCCTATCGTCACCGCCCCCGAGCCAGTTGCACACGCGGCGCAATTACGAACTCCAAGGTGCGTCACCCCCGCCCAGGCGCAAGCTGGGTCGTTGGAGAAGACCGCCTTGTAGCAGTCGATGGCTTCTGGATGGCACCACTAGCAGTGCCGTGAACGCAGCACCGACAGACGCTGCTGGCTGTGTTGGGGGTTTCGGCGAAATCAACGACCAGGATGCGGTTTCCGCCGAAGCGAACATGTCGAAAAAGTTCATGTGCGGCCGTAGCGGCACTAGCGGCTATCGTACTGGCCAACCTCTCGGTCTTCTCTGAAGCCTGCTTCCCGCCCTCAGCAGTAGTAGCGGGAGCGACGACTGGTGCTGCCAGACGAGAAAGTGGTGCAGTGGGACGTGGCGGCAGGATCGCGTTCGTGGGCCCCGTCGCACGGCCATCGTCGTGGTGGCAGCAGCAGCGGCATCACAACGCGGCAGTGGCGGTGCGTTCCACCGTTGCGACACGTCTCAGCAGCAGCAGCAGAAGAAGCAGTAGGCGCTATCGGCGAACGCCAGCGTTTCCGGTGTCGAGCGCCGCCCGCGCGGCTCTGTCGCCGCCACCGTCACCAACGGCTTCGACAGCGATGACGGCCGAGAACGACCAAAGCAGCAGCAAAGGCAACAACCAGCTGCGGCTGCTGCCGGGGACCGTGATCCTGCAGCCGGGCGACCCCATCGAGTTCTGGCACGCCCAGGGCCTCGTCCTGGGCAACTACGAGAGCCCCGTGCCGGGCCGGCAGTCCCTCGTCGTCCGCACGGAGGCTGGCGAGCCCCTGACAATCGACGCCGGACAGATCGTGGGCGTGTGGCGAGAGGACGAGATGAGCGGCCACCTGCCGCTCGGCAGCGTAACGGCGGGTGCCGACGGCGACGACATCGGTGACGGCGGTAGCAGCGCCGCCGTCGTCGCGGGGTGGGCGGAGGTCAGGGAGAAGACAAGGGCGCTGCTGCAGGGCACGCCGGCGAGGGGGCTTGACCTGGGGGCGTTTTGGAGAGCGGCGAGCTCGAGGGGGAAAGGTTTTGTGGTGACGCCGGCCCACGCGGCGGAGTTCCTCTTCGGCGCGGAGAGCCCGGCGAAGCTCGGCCTGAGGAAGCGACCGCCATTCCGGTTTCGAAGGTAACTAAGTTTCCTTGTAACGCTGGTCCCGTGTGTACTTCCTTTTGCCACGTTCGCGCAGGGAAGAAGGCTGGCTGTTGCTTGCTGCGCCGAGACCGTCGAAACTTCCCGGCTTAGTTCGATCCGAGGGAAGTCAAAACTACAGCAGTACATGAGGTTTAGCGCGCCTCTTCCAAGAAGAACCACGTCCGGTGATGAGTGCTTCAAAGCTCAAGGGCAACCTGAGGTTTGGGAAAGAACCAGTTGTGTTGCTCTGAGGCCCAGGCACGGCTGTGCGCCTTCAGCGCCAACTTCCTTGAGCGCTTGCAGTGCTCTCGTGTAAGTGATGAAAGTTTCAAGAGAGACTTCCCGGAGAGGGTTCTATTCGGTACGAGTAATTCGCTTGCAAATCCTGTCACAACGCCCACCCACCGGCACAGCATGGTGTGCAGTCGTGGTAGACCTTACGGTCAAGTTTGGGCTCTTCGACCCGTTTTGCGGAACAGCAATGCCCACGAGCACGCTTGACGGAAGGGAGTGCTACATGAGCCCTTCCCGCGAAACGAATTTCTGCTGCGCCACCGAATGACAGCTATGTAGTAGCGGATGCAAGGAAACAAGCCACAAACGGTCTTGTATAGTCCTTCTTCCATTCACCAACTTTTTTAGGAAACTTCCTCCCAGGGCTGTTGTTGCGGCCGTACCCGGCCTCCCTCGCGAACTTCCATCACCAAAAATAGTCCCTCAATATTGTATCCCGCCCCAACCCGTCCAATGGACCCGCCTAACGCCGAGTCGTGCCTCTGCTTTGGCTCCTGTTGCTGCCGCCTTCTCTATTTTTGCCTGTTGGGGATGTTTGTTGGGATTTCCAGCCCCGGAGAGGCGTTCCGGCCGAGCGCAGTAGAGCGGGCGGCGGCGGCGCACGTTATCGCGGGCGAGCGAAGCCGCTTCAAGCGCGTCGTCTCGAAGCGGTTGGGACCGGCCGGTGTTGGCCCTGACGGTGGCGGTGGTAGTGGGAAGAAGAGGGCGAGAGGGGGCGGCAAGGGAGGGGGGGCAGAAGGCGATGTCCTAGTAGCAGATGTGGGAGACGGTGCGGGGGGGGCAAGAGGAGGGGGGGGGCGTGGAGGCACCGTGGATGCACAAGGCCGAGACGAACGGAAAAAAGAGGAGGAGGAGGAGCTGAACCAGCCGGTGTTGATTAGCGTAGGCGGGTTCAAGGCCGTGGACCAGAGCGTCGCCGTCACGCGAGAGGTGGCCGACTTCTGCCGCGTGGTTGGGGAGGTCAAGAGGGCGGCGGCGGCGGCGGCGGCCGGGGTCGCCGCGGGGTACGGGGACGCGGCGGCGGCAGAGGAGGGAGGGGCCGGGAGCGCCCTGGCGAGGGCGGGGTTGTTCGAGCCCGCCTTCTTGCTGATCCTCCACAGTCTAGAGGTGAGAGAGCGTTAGGACGAGACTACGTGCGGTGATGCCCAGGTCGGAGCGTGTGCATGGTCTTGTTTATCGGGGTGGGGGGGATGTGTGGGATAGAGTGGCAAAGGGGCCTGGCTGTGCTACGTTGGATCGCCTGCTATTAAGTTGACGTCGAACGCGCCGCTCGCTACTTTTGAACGAGGTACGAAAATACTGATGTGAACCCTGGCCGTCCGTCTGTTGAAGCCGTTTCTCCCGACGGTACCTTCGTCAGACGGGTGCCATTCTGCTGTTGTTGAACGAATGTGTTTTTGCTGCAGTTTTGTTCGTGTCACATGCCTGGTATCGAGTCCACCCCTCTACTTCGTTTCCTCATTTCCCAACCTTTACTGCAGGCGTTCGCGATAGGCGGGGACGAGCAATCCCTGATACCGGAGGCCAAACGAGTAATGGTGGAGATCACAGGGAAGGTGACGACACTAGCACTGCTGTAAATTGCCGAGTTTTTTTTTTGCTACACATGCTATGTACCACGAGCATCTTTGCCGCGACGGTGTTCATGAAAAGTTACCGGTATGTTTTTTCAATGCTGGCATCGCCCCCTAGCTAGTGTTGGGGGCTCGAACCGCAGGCGCCCACGTGAGGTTGGTGGTTGGTGGTTTCCGGGGGATATATGCGTCGTGGACACTGCCGTCAGTGTGTGCGATTTGGAAATAACTGTTCACACAGGCGTGGCCCCTCTATCTGTGGTTCAAAGGAGTCTGATCGCCCGATGTCTCATTTTCTCTGCCGCTCTAATGATACGGTCGTGCGTCAGGGCGCCGCTGCCACACACCCCTTCCCTCTCCCCTTACCACAACAGTTGGTGCAGAAGAACACGGTACTCTTCTGTGTCGGTAAAAGGAACGACTGCGATGCGGGGTCGCTCCACAGTTGCGCTAGTGCTGGCATAACGCTGTGAATTCACACACATCACTGCCTGGAAGGCCTGTTGGCGTTTTTCGTCCCGCTCTAAGACACCATTCATTGGGCAGCCGGCTTGCGCGGTCGATGCACATCGAATATACACACACGCAACGGTACAACAGAAACAGAGTAGGTTGAAGACACCCGACCCAAGAAAAGACGCATCCCCGGAAGAAGATGCATGGCTTTGAGCGCAGACAGGCCAGCTATCCTACAAACCTGTAGGTTGCAAACACCCGGCCCAAGACGCATTGCTGGAAGTAGATGCATGGCTTTGAGCGCAGCAGGCCAGCTGACCTACATTGCCTACCCGAAGCGTCGACTCACGTACTGCTTGTTCCATTCACCCCACTACTAATCCCGGCGAAAACCGTAGGCCAACCCTACGGCAGCGAAGAGCATCCTCGTGGACGTGGGGCTGTGGACCTCCCGCAGACAGCCGGAGGAGGAGGGTGGGAAGCCCGGGGAAGAGGGGGGCGAGGTCGGAAGAGACGAGGCGGGAGAGGAAGGCGGGGTGATTCCGTGGTCGGCGGAGGCGCTAGAGGCGGCGGCGGCACTCGGGGGGGAGAGGGCGAGGAGACGAGCAAACTACGGGAAGAGACGGGCGCTGGAGGAGGTCGGCGCTCCCGCTCCTTTCGGCAGGCACGTAATTGTTTTTCATTCGTGAAGGACGGAATAATTGGATGTGTGTACGTGGATTGGCATCTGTATCTCGCACTCGAGAGGTGATGTGCGTGCATGACCTACGGTGACTGTTTGAGGCAGGGGGCAACAACAGCAGTACCCGATAGCACAACCAGACACAGCGTCGATAAGTGAACGCGCAACAACTATTAAGACAAATCATCATGAACAAAAGTGCAGGCACGACTTCCGAGGGGCGAGCTTCGGGGTGTACTGCATCGACGGGGCCGGCACCAGGTTCCTAGACGACGCTTTCTCCGTGGACCCGGAGACCCGCGAGGTCTTCATTCACATCACCGACGTTCAGGGCCTGGTGCCCACGGGGAGGTATGTACGCGCAACCTTTTATTTGCTCTCTGCGCGTGCTTGGATGCCTCGTACGTAAATATCGTTTTTTTTTAGTGGGCGCAACGATTTCCCCAGGGGTATTTGCTAAGTGGTCCATTTCTGACGGCAGAGGGTGAACTGCTATGGTATTCGGAGTTGTCGAGGGGGGCGCCCACACCGTGGAAGTCATTATTTCGAAACCCGGCATACATTCGTTGACCTTGTCTCCCTCCCCAATCTATGCATACCTCATCGCGTGTTTTTGTTGATACCGCTCTCTGGAACTAATCCCCCCCCCCCGCCACTTCTTGGGTCCTGTGGGAGCAATGCTCCGTTCTCATGGTCGATGGTCTAACCGCTAAGGCGTGCGATACATGAGCACCCCCCCCCCCCCAACCCATTTTCAGCACCCTGGACGACGTTGCGAGGATGAGAGCAGCGTCCGAATATCTACCGCAGGGCCCCCTGTTCATGATGCCCCCGACGGCCCTCAAGGCCATGTCTTTCAGCGACAAGGGCGTGAACGAGGCGGTTACGGTCGGCATCCGGCTAGACCCTAAGACGGGGGGGGTTGCGTCGTCCCGGGTGATGCTGACCACCCTTCCGCCTGCGGTGCCCCTTACCTTCGAGCAGACCGACAGGTGCCTGCTTCATCTTTGGGTGTGGTGTTTTTTTGCTGTTGCGTGTGGTCGTTGTTTATGTCGTCGTTGATGTTGTCGTTGCCGTTGTTGTCGGAGTGGTTGTGGATGTCGTCGGTGTGGTTGCTGTTGCTGCTGCGTAGGTGTTGATGGGATGGGCCTGCGAATATCGTTTCCGCTGAGCCATGCATGCCATCATTCGCCGCAAAGGTTGTTTGTTTGTGTGTTGTACATGGGTGCAAAATGTCAACGTTTCGTGTCGCTGGCTCTCTGAGGCCGCCTGAAGGGCAGCAGTTCATTGCGGCAAAACAATCACTAAAAACAAACGCTTCTTGAGCCGAAGAAATTGGGGGTTAAGTATGTGTGTCGAGTTGCGTCCAGTTCACAGGTGGGTATGTATCGTAATTTTTCTTTTTCAAGGAGTGTGCGGTCGCGTGTGACTGGCTGCCTCTTGTGTGCTTGTGGTTTATCTATCTCGTTTCGATAATGAAATTACAGGCTGTTGGAGGCCGCGGAGAAGGGGGAGACCGGGGAGGGGAGGCTTGCCCGAGTAGCAAAGGAGATCCAGGCGTTGGAGTACGTCGGGAGGCGGAGCGCCGAGGCGAGCGGGCGGAGGGAGCGCGGCAGGGAGGGGGTCAAGTTCCGCAAGGGACCCGACGGGGAGACGCAGGCGCTGGAGGTGGCCGCGTCTAGGCAAGTCTGAGGCGGCACCGAAGATACGCGCGCGCGCCTCGCTTTGAAACAAGTTTGTTTCTTTTATATCAATATCAGGTTTTGGTTTTATTTTGTTGCATGCCGTTCCTTTTTTTTCTCTGCGGACAAGGAGCTGGATGTTCTGGGTTTTTAGGGAAAAGCCATGCAAAGCGTGTAAAATGTGGACGTTGCCCTTCTCCCTCTTCTCGCCTCTTCGTTCCCGCTGTCTCTCTGTGAAAGAACCCTGTGGTCGTGCGAGGCTTCATTCACGCATGGAAAACGGGTAGACATGGCGTTCATGTGTGTACGGGGCCCTCAAAAGCCGGCAACATACGTCCGGCAAACTACATGAGAAAGACACCTAAATGCCAGGAAGGCTTGAATCTACCAACACGGCATCTTCTACTCCTTGACATCGCCCCACCCCTCCCCTCCTGTTTCTCTGCTTCACTTTCGCGGGGGGGGCCTGTTCTCTGTGCTTCTTGTTGTTGTTGGCACGTGTTTTCTGCCCTTGACAGGGCCCAGAGCCTTGTCGACGAGCTGCTGACCGTGTACACGCAGGAGGTGTACCGCCTGTGCAAGAGGGCCGGGGTGGCGATGCCCTCACTCGTGGGGCAGCAGGACCGGGTGGCAACCGGACGCTCCAGGTTAGCGATGTCTTCTTGTTTCGTCCCCATTCGCCCGACTAGTTTTGTCTCTCGTCGAACTCGGTTCGTTCTTGTTGTGGTGGCGATGGTGGTTGTCTCTTTGTTTAGCCATCTTGCCGTACTTGTTTTGTCACCCCCAACTCGCGTTGTTCTTGTGGTGGCGATGGTGGTGGTGGTTGATAGCTTTGTTCGGGGCCTCAGACCCTTGTCATGGTGTTCGACATGATGGTACTACCGGGCCTCGTTCAGAATTATCTTTTCGGTCTATTTTGTTTTCGTTCCGAGCCTCGTTCTGACCAAGCGCGAGATAACCATTGCCTTCTGGCTCCGTTCCGACTACAGCGGTAAGTGCTCGCACTTTAGAACACGGCAGTCAAGAACATGGGGGTTCAAATCCGTGGACACGGAAGGGAGCTTGGAGCTGGACCCGTACACAGATGTGAAATGCTTGGGCAGCTGATGAGAACCCACCAGGGAGATGATGATTTCCCTAGGGTTGCGTAAAGCTGTGTGCCGGATGCCCCATAGACTGTTGACGTGTGTGCAGCCTCCATGCACCGCACTCGGTTCAACATCCACAGCGCACCCCGCCACTGGGCCTTTCCTTTCTTCCGTTTTGATTTGTTTTTCGCCCCGTACATTCATTCTTCAGTCACGATGAAACATGATAGTGTTTCCTCTCTTCGGTTTGGTGTTTTCTTCCAGCTACTCTCCGGCCATGACGAAATGCGATGATCGATAACCAGGATTGTTGACGTTCACAGCTGTCGATGACCTCAATGAACGGACCTTGTAGATCTACCGTACCATTCGGTGTGTCGCGCATCGCGGACTTGGTTGGGAACAAACACCTTGCGACCGAACGATGCCGAAAAATAGACGTACCGCCAAGCGTGTTTTTTCATCTGTGTGCAGTGTATGGGCTAATGATGTGTACATTATGGTGAGGTCGAGGATAGCGCTACGGTTCATGGTGGTTCATATCAACTTCAATTTCATGTCTCCCACCTCTGTTGTCGTATGTTTAATTGGTTTTAGGTACGGTACGGGGCCCCTGCGGCGATACATCGACATCTTGGCGCAGCGGCAGATCGCCGCGATCCTCAGGGGCTCCGGTTACCTTAACAAGAAAGACCTCATGGAGACGGTGAGCCGGAAACCAAACACAACTGATGATGCTGGAACGTGACAACAGATTTGAAACGGAGGCAGAAAGAGCGTGAAAGAGAACGAGAGACGGAGAGTCAGAGAGAGAGAGAGAGATAGAGAGAGAAAGGGAGAGAAAAGTTGGAACGGCGGCTGGTCGTGCTCCCCTTGCTGTTAACCGAATGGGCTCGAGCCAGGTCATCTGCGCCGTGACCTAATTATTTATTTAGTTCGTCTTGACTTCAAATCAGCGATCACAGCGCTCGACTTGTGCGGTTTACTTCATCCCGTGGTCACACAGAAAGGTTTGTCTCCCTGAGGCTCCCTGCCCACCCCTTCTGCGGTACTTTGCCTTCGATCTTTTGTACGAGAAGAGTGCATTACTCTCTTCCCTCTGTGTACACGCTTTCCACCCAGGCCAGGAGCGGAAGCGAGAGAAAAACTCACTTTGCAAGAAAAGCTCGCTTTCGCCGGGATTCGACCCCCTGATCCTGACCACTAGAAGGTCTTCGAGGATACCAACTAGACTACCGGGGCGGCGGTGGTTGGCGACCTGATAGTTGGCAAATATGCCCACTGCAATGCTTGCGAATTTAACACATCATTGTTGCTACCTAACGTAATCCGTTTTGGGTCGTTCGCTACTTCATCTGAGTCATTTGGTCCCGCCCCCCCACGGAGATGTCGTGAGTACCTGTATCGCGGCGACAACTGACTGCCAACCCCCCCCCCCCCCCCCACCCACCCCTTCCCTGACTATCTACCATACGGCAAAAAAAAAATAAGGCGAGCTACCTAACCTGGAGGCAGAACAAGACCCGAGCCTCCCGCGACGAGGAGGCCAGCCGCCTCTCCCTCGAAGCCCTGGCCGCGCACTGCCTCGCCCAGACCAGGGCGACCGGCCTCGAGCACGCCGTCGTGCCCGCTCGCGGCACCGGACGGGGGAGGGAGGTGCGGCTGGAGGGGCTGGGAGGAGTTGGCAGAGGAGGCGGAGGAGGAGGAGGCGTTTGCGTGCACGCGAAGCGGGCCCCGGGCAGCGGCGGGAGGGGCGTCGCGATTCGGAAGGGGCAGGCCGTGAGGGTGGTGATCCAGAAGGTCGAGCCGCAGCTCAAGCAGGTGGTGGCGACGGAGTTTGTCGACGGCATGGAGGGCGGGGCAGGAAGGGGAGGTGACCGGGGCGCGGATGTGGTTCAGGCCGGAGACAAGTAGAGGGGCGGCAGCGGTAGAGGAAAATCGCGCGCGTGTGTGTGTGCGTGCCGCTGTGTCCATTTTTGACTGGCTCGGGATAGTCGAGGTGGTCGCCGTGAAGTGTTTTGTCCGGTCGGTGGCTTTGGGGGGACGTAGTGCGCACGGTGGGTTGGTTCCACGTTTAATTGGTTAGGGAGATAGTCGTCATTTCACGCGCTATTGACTGTTGCCGTGTGTGTGATTTTCGGGGAATTTTTGGCTGTCGGAACGGGTGCATGTGTCATGTGAGATGAGAGTTGTCCGGCCATTGTACTGTGGCACGTGCGAAGAAGTCCTACCCAAGCGATTTTTCGCCTCGCGCTGTGTTTTCACTTTTCATTTTCGTATTGTTTGGCGGGCGAGGCGCTGAGTCGTAGTCCTGCGTGAAGGAAGTGCACAACTGAGTACACTTTGGCAAACGGGAGACGCGGGGTGGCGGGGAAGAATTTCGCATTAGAAGCGGAACACAAGTACTAATTCAGGACGGAGGGTGTACGATGTTGCTGTTAACTTAGGGAAGAGAACATTTTGCACGTAAGCCTCCCCGCCCCGAGAAAACGCGAATGGGTATGAAAGGTGGAAAATTTGTTGTTTTAGAGACCAAAGAGGAAACGTCGAGCGTAAGACCACGATGCCGACTCGGGGACGTTCTGTCCTGATTCTTCCCCTTGTGGGTGAAGGCCGCGGTCGAATGCGGATTTTGCATGCACATGCTTCGACGATAGGCACCAAACGAGGGCGAGGATGGCAGTGACTTTCACTGGCCATACACTTGGGACATTGCTCACTTCACTCTTGTCTCGATGTCACGAGAGTCGCACGCAGAACTATGTAGCTCAATCTCTTGCAACAGCGCGCAAGATGCTCGGTTGTGAGACGCTGACCATGTATCCTCCACGGAAACGGTTACCTTTCCCGCGTAGCGTGGACACGTACGTGTGGTGCTACTAGAAGGGCGCAAAAGAAAACGGGGACGTCCACTAATGCTACTGCTGTGGAATATTCCTTTAGTTGAGTCCTCACGCCCTGACAACCCTCTACACCGCCAACCTCACCCGGAAGGGTGCCAACAATCAACACCCTTGCGCATACATAAATGTAAATTTACAATCTTTGTATCTATCGCTACGCTTCTCTTCTCCAGACTTTCCGTATAAGTACGGCTAAAGCCACAAGGGCCGACGTCCAAACTGACCCCCAGGGATGGGCACAACCATTGGCTCAACCACAGAAAGTACAACAAGGCAGAGTGTATCCAAAATAGTCGCACTGATCACGCAAGCAAGTGTAACAAATTCGTTTTTCACCCACATTAAGGCTAGTCCGGCCCCGCTCTGTTCACAACGAGCCTTTGGCATTTGACCGGGCCGCCTTCGTGACGGATTGCATGGTCTTCAGAAAAGGTATAATGTTATCTACTGCACAGTCTCTTGAACACAGAACGTTTGCATTTCGGTACGATATAGCCTACGTTACATTGAACATCAAATTTACATTTCACGTACAGAATCACAAGACAAACAAGAGAGGGAGGCACAACGTCGTCAAACCGGGTGCACCATTGGCGATCCCCGTTTTTGGAGGAGCCTTCGCAGTCTCTTGGCATCCATGGGCTTGGGCAGAGACCCGTCGAAGCCGGCGTCGACTTCGATGACGTTGGCCGACATGGAGTATATCCGCTGGCGGTTCGATCTGTTCACCGCTTCCCACTCCCTAAACCTGAGTCGCGCCGGGAGATGATGACGGGAGAGGGGGTCGAGGGGGGCGGAGGCAAGGGGCACCGCGTTTCTTGCCATTTCTAGCGGGTTCCTCCGGCACCGAGCATATCTGCCTGGAATTCATGGCCGCGGCTGCGTTTCTTGTTTCGTTTGATTTTCGTGGCTTGGCCCTACGATCACTCTTTCGTTGCTATTCGTTTTCGGTCGTCCTCCGTTCGTTCGACATCCGTTCGTGGCCGTCTGAAGCTAGAGAAAAACAACGTGTGGGGTCGCGACCCGTTTCAAGACGGGTCCGTTCCGGCGGGCTGCGCACGCGTAATGATGACGTCTTGCTTTTCCATGCAAGCTTTTCGCGGGACCCCGAGCTAATAACCCCAAAACGTAGCTGCAGAGCTCCCTCGAACTTCACCCGGGGGCATGGCCTCGGAATCTACCGATCAATTCCGCCATCCACATATTTACGAGCATTGGGTCCCGGGCCAGCCTTCTCCTCAGCGTAACCCCCCGTGTCAACCTCCTCCACCGTACAACGGCACGCCTCCTCACCTCGCCAAACACTTCCTCCCGTCCATGACAGGCATCGAGATGTCCATGAGCACGATGTCGTACTCCTTCTTCTTGAGTCTCTCCAGGCCCTCCTCACCGTTACAAGCGAGGTCGACGTCGTGCTTCTTCAGGAAGTGGTGCATCATCTTCCTGATGGAGGCCGTGTCGTCCACGATCAGGCACGTCCCCCGGGGGGTGTCGCCGCTCTCCCGGAGCGAAACGCTCCGGCCGCTGCCGCTGGTGCTGTCGGTATCGATGTCCTTGTCCACTTTCGCCGGGATCAGAACCTGTGTGGAAGTAAGGAGGCCGTCGGAGTGTGTCAGTCCTCGTATTTCAGTTGTATGCAGGGTACGGCGGTTTGCCCTGTCATGTATGGAGGAGCAATCCTGAACTCTCCTTTGGGGATAGGCTCACGGAGCTACATACTAGGGTCCAGCTCGATGTTGGGACAGACTATTGTACGTCGTCCGGACTTGTGTCACGAACGTTGTGTCCGAGAAGACGACGGCTTTGGACCAGGCTTCCTGCATGCTTGTGGCCGACGTCTATTGTTGCTGCTTTCCATACCCCTCACACGAGGCAAGACAGATAGGCGACCCTTTCGGACCAGGATTTCCGACGGGGACGTTTCTCTCTCTCTCTTGCGCGCTGGTCCCATAGAAGCGGTTAAGACCACAAACGTATTTCTGATAGCGGGGAGTCGTTCCTGTCAGCTCTGCCATGTAGTGCATCTTAACCCCCATCCGCTCCTCCTTTCATTATGGCGGAGAATAATCCCAATGACATGGTGTGCCAACACATTTTCACAAATCACAAAGACTAACAGGAAAGCCATCCACGCACACTAGGAAAAGAAAGAAGTAGCCCAAAACCTGCGGATAGCGGTTACGCGGCTACACTTCTGTGGCGTGGCACACCCACGGTAGCCCATAGATGAAGTGCCTCGGAAGGAAAACAACGTTAATACGCACATACTATCCTTGCGATACGCGTGCTAACTACCACGGTTGGTACATGCACGTTGTGCTGTTGTTGTTGTTTCACCTCGAAGCCATACGTGCACTATCGTCAAGCGCACCAACTAGCGCGCGGTGTGTACATGCACGTTGGTGCTGTTGCTCACCTCGAAAACAGTACCCCCGCCGGGATTGTCCAGGACCCTGCACGAGCCCCCCAGGGCGTCGACCTTGGTCTTGACCGAGTAGAGCCCGATGCCGTGCGAGGCGTGCCCGTACGTCTGGTGGGTCACGTACTTGCCGAACACGGCCCCCTTCTTGGAGTCGTCGATCCCGATCCCGGTGTCCTCCACTCGGAGCTCCAGGCAGTCGTCCCGGTAGCCGACGATCACGTCGATGCGGCCCCTGTGCGTGTACTTGGCGGCGTTGGTGACAAGGTTCATGAGGATCTGCCACACCCACTCCACGTCCGTCAGCAGGGAGGGGGGGACGCACGCCTGGGCCTCGCAGCGGGCGTCGACGTTCTCGTTTACCAACCTGGAGCACACCTGATTTTTTTTTTTTAGACGGCCATGTGCAGCAGCGGCGGCAGGTTGTTCGACGGGGGGGGAGGGGGGGTAGTCGTTGGACCATTGATCTCGCATCCCTACATAGCCGGGGCGGAGCACGCCGGGTTCTCACCGGGCCAGGCTCTCACATCACCAAGCGCGAAGCGCCGTGAGGTATTCGGCGAGTCGCATGAAGGGTGCGCTGCATCCTGCTAAGGGGGTTGGTCACCTGGTGCTTACTTCCTTGCGTACGGATGACAGCTGCGTATGACTTAATTTATTTTCTGGTGCTTACAGTTATAAGCACTGTGTAACTGCCTCGAGGATGCTTGACCATTTTAACACAACGTGGTGCGATCATCCCCCTTGCGCGGAGTGAGGGTTCTCGACCTCGAACAACATGATCTACTCGACCACCATTATGGTTACCGCAAAAACAAAAACAGAGGTAAACAAAACGGTAACGTGGTTGCCGAGTTCACGAAGTGAATTGGCTTGTTCTACAACGTCGTTGCCAAGCGAGCGAAACCTCAATGCGGGGGGGGGGGGGGGGGGGGGTTCCCTTTCAGTAGTGACCCATATGCCAATCGTATTGCTTTTTGTGTGTGTTTGCGCCTGGCTGGATGGTGTTGTGTGATCAAGTTGTTACCCTCGAAAAACGCCATGGTCTAGCCTTGATCTCGACTCCCAACTCTCGAGCTTTTGGTTAACCGAGGTGTAGAGAAGAGGTTGGCTGCCGGTCAGGGCAATAACGGCCGTTGTACCGGGCGGAAAGTGACGCGGGGCGTTTTGAGATCAGCACGAGGGTGAAGCCGGACCCCACCAATCAAGGGCAAGGTTCTTTCCGAATGTTTTCAAGTGGACGACACTGGCTCCTCAGGTGTTGAACAGACGACCCGCATCGCAATGTTCTGCCACTGTAACAGACCACTAATTTCGATGTGGCGGCGATGTGGCGGAACCAACCATCTGGCTAATCTTTCAGCGCCTCCGGTTACCGTCGGGTTAGACCACGCTGCAGTGGTATGCCTACCTCTCCAGAACTCTCAGATCCGCCCGACGAACCGTTTCACTGAGGGAATCTGCCGTATGCCGTTTCCCGCTATGGAACCCAACACCCTACCGTGTGCCGAGAACAGCATCCCAGGCGGCGGCCTCACATTTTCGATCCTGTTCAACATGGTGGCAACATTCAGCGCGTCAATCGTCCCCTTGATCTTGACTCCCGCCCCCATCATGCCGATATCCATGAACTGCGTCGCCACGAGATTGAGGACCTCAACGTTGACGATGGCCTCGTCCAAGAGCTTAGTGTAGTTCTCGTCGACGTCGGCGTTCGACCGCAGGGACGATATCACGATCCCCAGCGAGGCCAGGGGGGTCCTGACGTCATGGGCGGTGCTCATGCACATGGCCATCTTCATCTCGTTCATGCGCTCTTCCTCCTTGCTCATGTGCACCTTGCGTGCGTACATGAATGGGGACGGTTTGGTGGGTGTTTCAGGGGGGGGGGGGGCAAGGAGAGAAAGGGAGATGCGATTGCCTGTCGTACGTGGGTTCTTTGGTGTTGAGGTCGACTACACAGTTGCCTTCTTGTACCAGCACCCTTTGGGGGCAAACATCTGCGTCTGTTGTTGGTGAACCGTCGAACTATTGAAGGCACCTACATATTCCAAGCGGTGCACGAAGAAATGCTGCAAGACGTAATTTGGAGATCATACGATATCATGGCGAAATCAGCTGCCAGGTGGCGGTTCTAGCGAAATTTTTCGTTTCCAGGTCAGAAAGGGTGCATCCCGGTTGAACGCACAGCGTTTCAGAGTGACAAAGCCCACCGAACTCATGAAGGATTACCACAAGACTCTTCCACGCTCGAGTACTGTTGCCAATTTTGCAAATACACGTTGAAATCTTGGGCTCATGCGTGCACCTCGGCTGTGGCATCGTAGGCGAAGATCGTCGTCCCTGAACTTGAAGCTGATGGCGCAAGCTCTAGCTCTGACCAGTGCCTGCACCGGCATAAGAGAAGGAGCAGCAGCGGCCGCAGCAGCAGCAGCGACAGCGACAGCACCCAGACACCCGTGGGGGATACAGGAGCCATGGGTCCTGAGTGAATTTTCAGCCACTGACCACACCGGGGGTAGGAGGGCGGCACTACATTGCAGAGTGCGATATGTACTGTGTCGATGGGGTTACGGCGAATACAGAGCGAGAACTGGATGTACAGTACGCAATAAAACACCGCTAGGAAACAGGTACTCAGCCCCGCTACACAGTACCATCTCCGATTTATTACTGTAAGAACAAGGCCTTGTTTCGAATCCGGAACTCGGAAGTGTCCAAACTACAATATGGTATATGGCACATGTGGAGGTTGGAACAGACCTACCTCCAGCAGAGCGATAGCATCATTGATATGAGATAGTGTACAAGTAGCTCAGCTTGCATCGAGAATGGCCATGCATGTCGAAAGAGTACTGGACACTGCGGCAGGCAGCAGCCAACACATACCTGTGTGACGTGGTGTTCATGACCGCGCTGACCACCCGAAAGAACCTATCTCCCATCTTGATTATGTTGCCGATGTCTATCCCCCCACTGAACTCCACCGGAAAACCACCGCTGTAGCCGTTGATGAATCCCGTGACCAGGCTATTGTCGATGGCGACGCATCTCAGATCATACCCCGCGGTGAGGTTCTGGATGGTACGTTCTCGAAGGATCTTGGAGGTGGATATTCGGAGCGTGAGATAGTCATCGAGGCTTTGGACACGGCAGAGAGCGCATATGGCCGCGATGAAGGACACGGCCGCGCACGAAACAGAGAGGGGCGCGCTGATGTGATCGTACCAGATAGCACGCCTGCGAAGACATCGTGTAAGGTTGAACAGGGAGGCGAAGCGATCCGGCGGTACATAGTATATGACCAACAGCAAACAGTTGCGATGGGAAAGGCACGAAAGGGGAGCACCTGACGTGTTGAGACAGAAAATAAGAGCAGAACAACCAGGAAAAAAAAAAAGAAAAAAAAATGTACTTCCATGTGTAGACTACTGTAGTCTATACCTCAAACATTATACTACAGCTATGTTTGATGAACGGTGGTAAATATTGTCTTCGCCCAGCTATGTAGACGCCAGAAACTAAGGAGTGTTGCTGGACATGTGGATGGCATCAACCCACTCAAACAGATGTCACGATTTTTGTATTCTGTCTGCCGTATGTGTTCACATCTTCGTGAAGCAGACAACACCCGTCACGAACAGCCTGAACACCGGGGTGTGAAGACCTAGACTACAGCAACAACATATTGCATTGGTGGCTCCGACGCCCACTTACAGGTGGGTCATGGCGCAGAGCATCAGGAACAGGCCAAAGGTGACGGCTAAAATCCTGTTGACGCGGGAGTCCAAATAGTCCTTATGCCTGTAGTAGATGACTAGGACGATAGTCGAGAGGAGCGCGTAAGACGAGAATATTACTGACTCGATGGACACCTCCAGCAAGTTGGCGCTGGTTGTTGCCATGCTGGTGGTGTCGCTGAAGTTTCACGATGATGCAGTACGTACTGGCAGATTTCTGGACATTGCCAAGGGGTACTGTAGATGTAGAGATGGACCGGTCGAAACATCCACAATTGGCCCTATACTGCTGGACGCATGTACGCCTCGGGCTTTCTGGACCTCGACGGCTACAGGTACATGCGAACCTTCTGACGCTTTTTTGGAGGTGTTTCGTGGCAAAAACGCGGTGGAACCGGTGTCTGTTCGACCACATACGTACGTAGAAATAAGTCCAGTACCCAGCCGGTTTCCCTCCACTCACTGAAAAGACTCCACCACATCCCGTTCGACTGTGGGTATATCTCGAATGTATAGTCTTTCTGTGTGTGTTTTTATTATTCCTTAAGTCTACACGTGCATAAGTTGCCTGGTACACTCTGGCACATTGTACGATCCGTGTACGGTTTTAGGTGCAGAGATCTTCTGCTCAGTAGGTGGTTGTTGGAGAAAGAGGGGGGGAAAGAGGCAAGGGAGATACCTGCCGGGGAAACTGGAGAGGAGGTGAAGAAGACTATAGCGGGTAGCGTGCTCAATCATTGTGAAACAACAGCAGCATTCCGGCGTGATCTCTATATACGAAACCTTGCTGTATATATTTTTTCGTGTGTCGTCTTTGGGATCTATCAGCTCGCTCGCTCATCGGTTAGTCCTAAAGAGTTACTATCAAAGTGTACCCAAGGCTCCATCTATCCGGGACTGGTCTTGTAACCCAGGGTTCGCATCCCATCGGAGCCATCGCATACGGCTGTGATTTCGTTCGGCACTTCCGCACCGGTATCGGTGCGATACAGTAGTCTACATGTACACCATCCCGACGCGTTGGGGATAGTCTAGTCTGCACCACACCGAAATAAGGAGGTTTAAGTGGGAAGATGCACAGCGCGTGCGACAATTGTTTCATTTTTTTGCGTTTTGTTCGCGCCGCGATGTGATCTCTCCGGCCGGCAGTGCCATCTCTCCGCCCCGTGAGGAAATGGAAACACTACCACTACTGTAAATCGTGTGGCTTCACTTTTCAAGACCCCTTTGGGATCTCTCCGATGAGTCCGATACCCACCCAATAATATTTTGCGCCCAGCAGCCCTTGGTTGATAATGCATGCACCCATTGCCATCTCCGGATCTTACAGTAAAGGCGGAGCTGAACACCCTACAGTAGTTGACAAAACAGCATGGTAGTCTATACCAGGTGTGAGAATAGAAACCTATTTGTTGTGTGCTGCGGGCGCATCACACGTGTAGGTACCGTTCGTTTTGTTGCTGACGTAAGTATAGCCGCATGCAGCGAGTGGTCATGGGTGTTTGAAGGCGGGTTTTGCAACGGTATGACCAGGACGAAAAACAATGTGGTTGCCATCTTAAAGGGTGCCGGTGTATATACGGTATCAGTGCATACATACGCGGCATTTACATAGATCACACCCGGTGTGATGTCACCGACCCCAGTGCGGACAACAGTATAATTCATGACGTTCTTGGGTTTGTATTGCGCACCCCGGTGCCATCTCCCCGACGTGTGTCGTCTCCCCGCCTCCCATGGCACTTGGGTTACGGGCGTTGACGACGTTGAACACCCCACCCCAACTGATGTGTAGGTTGATCAAGGATGTTAGGATTTTTTCGGCTGAACAAAGAATAGACTACTGTATGTTCGATCCGTAAAACCTAGCCGCGTGCTCTTTCTTCGAACAACCTGGAGGGTGAAAAAAACAAGGGCGAAAAAAACAACCACACTGTTGAGAGTCTCGGAGAAAGTTAGTTCCGGTATCAAGACCAAGATATGTAGAACAGCAACCGTCCCTCCGCGGTCATGAAAGACCCTGGTCATCATGTACCCCAGTGTGTGAATCGTGTCTTCTCGGAGAGAACCGGTGGGGTCCAGCAGATCAGCATTGCGCATTTCAAATCGAAGAACCTCCCTTCCGGTTGTTTTTTTCTCATGAAAAGAAGGAAACGAGGCTCTACTGCTCAGCACACGCCTGTGTTAAAATGTTTCTCTCTTCTGTTTACCCAGTGTATTCACATCCCGGATCTAATACCCCGGCTAATAGCATGCAACAAATTAACATGACTCGCCCAGCAACCTGCGTTACCTCAGCACTACCTAGGCCACCAAGTCATTGGTGATGCTGACACTACCGCATGTCATCGTTGCTGTTGTGGTGGTCGACGTCGTCATTGGTGCGGTCATGACTTGTTGGTTTTGTCTTTTGACTTACTGCAGCTTTTGCTGCGGTTGCTTCCCTCTCCGCTTGCGTCGAAGATCGTCGCACATCTTGGCTATCCTCAGCCCGTCGTTCTCTCTCAAAGCGTCTGTCTGCCAGCGTCTTGCTTGCCCCTCTGCCATCCGAGAACAGTCTCTTGGCGCGTTGTCCCAATCTGCGAAGCCCCCCTGCGAATGCGGTTCACAGCAACATCAGGGAGAGGGCGCATTGAAGCATCAGCATCCGAACTGAAGAGAAAGAGTGCGTTTCTAAGCTCCCGAGCGACGTGCCTCGACTTTCGAGATCGCCTCCTGACACCTATCCGTTGAGCGAAGAAAAAGGCGGGGCCCACCCACGCATCACAGCCACTGACATAGGTATCCGTTGCCTGTGCGTCTTTGTTGGTCCGACGTTTCCCGTGAGACTGCACGAGCAAGCCATGCAAAAGTCTGCACAGGCCACCCTCAAGGAACTAACTGGACCAGTTTGGTCGTGACCCAAAAGCAAATTCTAGCTATGTTGCCACAACTGCGTGAACTCCATCCAGTCGGAGCTTAGGTGAGCAATGACGTGAGCAATGAAGGACAGAGAAGGGCGAAACAGACGTCCACGACCGAGTGCTTGTGGTGTCATCCGACATCCTTTTCTGGACATCCGACAAAACTCCTTGGAACATGGAGCGGTGGAGTACAATCGACTTTTCGTCAGCGGGTCGAATGCTGGCAGACATATCCTGTAGATCCACGGCGCATGGGCAGATTTTCCCGTTTGGGAGTTGCGGGTCTTACCATTCGCGGCTGTTCGGCTTTCTTGGCCCGGGTGTCCTTAACTGTCCAAAACAATTGGTCTGGAGACACAAGTTGCGCGGTGGTACGCCTCGAGAAATGTGCAATGCAGAAGTCACGGCTTGGAGTGCGCGTAGGCTGAAAGAAAATAACAGAGAGCCACGGCACTGGCGGTTTTAAGTCTGTAGCCGTTCGTTTGTCCGAGCACGGGCTCTTACAATTAGGGGAACGGGTTGACCGGGAATGGACGGTCGAAGTGGTGTTCACCGGTGTAGCGGAGCTTCATGTCGTAGGCAATGGCTAGCCAGCACGACCCTATCTATGTGGTACACGGGGACAGTACAACCTATCTTGGCGGAACGTGGTAGATAATAGCATGCCCCGAAGAGCAGGGTGGCCTGGTATACAGCAGTCTCTCGTCCATCTACCTCTTCTCATGGGAGCACGCAGCGACACATCTCCATTCCTGTGTACGCTGTCTATGTGTCAAATCAGTGGACCGCGGACCCGTTCCTGGGCTTTTTCGGAGTGCACGTAGATGGTGTCCGTGTTTGCCCCGACGACATCCTGGTCGGCTTTGCCGAGCAAACACCACGGAGGAGCGCATCGAGCGCGATTTTGAAAGTCGCGGAGGAAAACATTTCTAACGCCTTCTGAAATTAACGTTTTAAGGTGACAAACGACACGGCGCACCTGTAGCGACACACGCTGAACCGGGTGCTCGTTCGGCAATAACCCCCTCTCCCTGTCGGACAGCAACTCCGACGCGCGAACCTCCCAGATCCTACGGCAATTCATGCCCGTCGCCGCCGTCGGTACAACCACGGTGCCCCCTTCGCCACGATTAATTCCTCCCGCCGGGAGCCCTGCTGGTGTTGGTGGCTCTCCTGGCGTTGCAGCAGCGTCCCCAGCGCGGCCACTCGACACCCCGCCGTCACCGATGCCACCGGTACCACCGTTCGCTTTGCTTCCTGCCGAAGCTGGTCTTTGGCCTGCCGCTGGTGGTGCTGCTACTCGTGCTGTTGGCGATGATGATGATGATGATGGCGTCATCTGGCCGCTATTGTTTCCGCTGCTGCTGTTGCCACTGGTGCTGGTGCTGGTGCCGCCGCCAGAGCTATTGCTGCTGCCGCTATCCTTCGGGACGGCCGGGCTGCCGCCGCTACCGCCCGTGGCAGCGATAGAGGTGGTTGTGGTGGTAGTTGTTGTCGTGACCACAGCGGGGGGAAAGTCGGGGCCCCTCGGGGGTCGCTTGCTTCCCGCACTCGCTTGCCGTTTGGCGGGCACCTGGGGGAAGGGGGGTAGAGCGAACGAGCGAGCGAGTGGAGGTGCCCATTGCCGAACTACAGCAGCAACCTAACGGCGCAACCCGGACTCAAGAGCTCCAAGGAAACGGGTACAGAGAGAGCCGAGCAATCGCACGGCACTGTGGGCGGAAGGCGTCAAGTAAGGCAGGTATTAAGAAACAACAGCTACGTCGATGTCGTATCCAATAGTAGGCAGATTGACCCCCTGGACTAGGCAGGATGCACCTGGTCGGTTGAGGATAGGGTCAAGGTTGTTGATGGAAGCGGCAGACGAGCTCGTAGAAAGTGCCGAACTTATTTGGGTGCTGGCATCGCTCCAGGAAAGCAGCAGCCTGTCACAATCGGCATGCCCAGTGACCAAGAGCCACAGTCCGATCTGCGTCAAGCAAGCTCGTGATCACACAATCCCAGGGAAAATTCAAATAGGCACCGACAGCTTCATGGAGGAAAGACATGACTGCGCCGTCGAACGTCAAACGTCGGATCTAGAGAGTAAAAAACCAGACGCGGTGGAGGCTGTCGCTTTGCAGATGTCATCTGAAGATGGGGGATCAGACTTTGCTCTACTGAAAAAAATCCGGACGTTCTCCACTAATGTATTATCCGGCGACGTATATCCTTTCCGGGGTACCTTTCGCATCCTTTCCACGCCTCCGCGCAGCAAACGCGTGAAAAGGCAGCACACCAAACGTTGCCACGTCATTGAACCACCACAAGGCTCGTGCAAACCCGTTTCTTCTGCTCGAGGGTGACGGTCTTTCCTTCTGCCCGGCGATGCGCTTGAAGCCTGCAAGATTACTTCAAAGTGTACTTACGGAACAAACCCACGCACCCACAACACGATACCAAGCTCCGAAACAAAATCCATCCACCACGATAAATCATGGTACATCCGCAAACCTTGTCGGTGCCCACGATCCCGAACCCACCCCCACCGCCACCGCCACCGCCACGCACACGGTCCCCGCCGCTGCTGTTGCCGCGACTACCGTAGTTGGTGGAAGCATCATTAGTCCCCCCCTTCCCGGTCGCTGCGTCTCCCGCCGCGCCGATACCGCCGCCGCTGCTGCCGCCGGTGCTATTGGTGCCACCACCGTCGCTGCCCGGTCCCACCGCGCTCTTGACTACTGCTCTTGTTTCCTCGTTCACGGCATCCCTCCAGTCCTAAGGTTGCATCATCGCATCGAACAGCAGCAACACGAAGAGTGACATTGGACAACGAACGAATGTACACTGTCAGCAGTGAATGAATTGCGGCCATCGCGAATGTAAATGTCAACCGTCTGTAGTGAATGTGAGCCTACAGCAGTGAATGCGAACCAGTACTAGTGATTTCGAACTGGGATTCGTGAATGTGAACCCACAACGGTGAATGCTAATCGACGTTGTGAAATTTAAACAGCCATGAGTGACTATGAAACGAAAGCAGTGCATGTGAGCTGACAAGCAAATAGAAACGGACATGAGTGAACATGAACCGTGCACTACAACAGCGAAAGTGACCAACCGTAGTGAATGTCAAACGTCAGAAGTGAAATCGAACCGATAACCGTAGTGAATGTGAAACGTCAGAAGTGAATATGAACCGATACTAGGGAATGTGAACCGCTGTGTGAACTGGAGTGTAGCATGAATCGTGCTCATCATTTCCGCTCGTCAACCGAACGTTAATGCAAGAGCCACTAACGAAACATTGCTTGTAGTGCTCTGAGCGAATGAAGGAAAAGTGAGCGTGGAGTGACGAATCGTTGGGATCCACTTCAATGCTCGCCAGGCGCCGCATGGATGGCCTGATGTATCGCCCGAGACAAGCGACCGGGTCAAAACAAGCAAGACGAAAGCAAGCAAGACTGGACAAACTGGAAAAATCCAAGAATACGGTGAGCGTGGGACATTCGTTTTCCGGAGGCACACATCAAGATATACTACAAACGTTGAGCCCCCGGCGCTCGCTGATTTCGCGGTATCGCAACTCCCTGAGCATTTGAGGGTGGCTCCGTTTGATTAATTTTTTCCATGTTGCCTCTGTGCAGCACAAGCTTGGATGTCGTAACTCTTGTTCTGAATCAATGCGAAGACATGCGCCCAGCACGGGAAAGCTTTTGCGGAAAACGTTCCAGCACGTGGCACCGAGGGAAGCAAACATCACCTTAACAATAGTACACTATACCACGTATCACGACACAATTCCTTTTCAACGCAAGACAATACACCACGCCACACCACACCACAACCGCCACTCCATCCATTGCCCTGCCAGCAAACAAAGACGCCATCGACTCAAAACGGCCAGAGCCGCCGCCTCTCTGTGCAGGCAACAGCCGTGAGCTTGACGACCCTCGCCTGGTAGGAGATGTTGGCTCTCTGGAGCTGCAGCACCCTCAGCACCAGGGGGTCCTCGTCTGCGTCTCTGACGACGTGGTCGAGGCTCACACAGCCCAGCGGCGGAGGCTCCAGGCTAAACCTGTGGGTAATGACGCAACCACGAGCGAGGAAAGAGCACGAGAACGTTCGTAACCACGCGCGGTCGTTGGTGCACGAAGACCGACCCTCTCATCCTTGCAGAGCGGGGGTGGCGCAGATGGGCCTTTCACGCACTATGCTGGCCCCGCACCAAAGTCCGAATCCACAGCAGCATCGACCGTCAGGAGTTCAGTCAGCCGCTTGAAAAATTATTTTGGAAATGATGTTGTTTGTCGCAGACTTTTGAAATTGGTACTGTATTCTTCAGGAGAGTCTAGCACGGGTACAGGATGGACACCGCACATCCGAAAAAAATATTATCACGAGGCAAGGTGGTGAAGGTTTTGTGTCGCCGACTACGAAAACTCCAGGTTTCCGACTATGTTTAATATTCTCCACCCCGCTCCAGGACACCAAAACCAAAACATCATCAACAAGAAATAAGGCACACTTGAAGAACAGGTATACTTATACCGTGGGAAAAAAAGAATTCGGACGACCCTTTTTGATAGAGATTCCCGCGCGTTTGATGTAGAGAGTCAAAACGTGCGAGTCCAGGGGGAAATTTCGAGACCAGCCTAGATCAGGCAAGGTTCCGTGGCGACCTCGTCAACGCCCATCGACGGGGCCTCCCACGAGAGGCGGGCGTGACGCAACCATGGACGTGGCGCCCCGTTGACTGTACCGGGTACTTCCTGGAGACAGCTGGATGCGATCATGTCGAGACATCTCTATGTTTTCCGGACAATCATTGCACCGTCGTCTTGCAATTCCGCACCTGTTCACGGGGCTTTGGCAGCAAGGGTAGTACCCATCAGCCGCTCCCACCCCAACACCGCCCCGCTCTTCTCCCGAGATTCCGGTGGTACTGGCGCCGGTTGTGCTGCTGCCGCAGCCGCTGTCCCCCGGGAAGAACGCTTGTTGCGGGTGAGAACGGCAGTGCCCGATGTCCCCCGCCAGAAAAACCTCGCTGATCACAAAGCGGTAGTTGCGAAAAAGAGATGATCCGATTTCGACTGGATAAAGCGAAAGGTACACACTGGAAAACAAAAGTGGTTGGCACTCCGAACGAAAAGGACACAAGTGCAAACGGCTAAAATTTCGCTGAAAGAAAACGAAAAAAAACAATACTAACGCAAACATGGGGGGCACGGTTTATGACAACTATCGCTTTCCTAAGGCTACGTACATTCACCCGGCCTCCCCCCCCCGCATTGCTCCTACACCACTCAACTCACCGGCACCTGACGCAGTAGAGCGGCTGCGTAAGGCCCCAAAGGAACCAATAGACCGCGGTCCAACTCATGCCCTTTCGGTGAAGAGACGTGACCGTTCGGGTGAGGCTCCAGGGCGACAGCGGCTCGTGACGCCGCAGCAGCTGGCCTCGAAAGCTCACCGTGGGAGGAGCCGCGCGGCAACTCATCACGTCGCGTACCTGGCGTGTTTTATTGTACGATTGGATTTTTCATTACGGTTTCGTTTCGGGTTTCCGTTGGGTAAACGTTAGCGTATATCGGGGGGGGGGGGGGGGGGGGGGGGGGGAAAAAGTTAAAAAAATTTTGGGCACAAGGGGGCCCCCTCTCCCGGATTTTTGGGGTTTAAAACCACCAAAAGGGGAAAAAGGGCGGGGGGGGAACGGGAAAAAAAACCCCGGGGAAAAAAAAACCGGGCCCAGGACCCCCCGGAAAAAAAAAAGGGGGCTCCCCCAAAAAAAAAACCGTTAAGGGGTTTAAAATTTTGGGGGGGGGGGAAATCTTGGGGGAACGGGGGAGTTCTCCCAAGGCCGGGGGGCCCCCTTTGGGGGAATATGGAAAAAATTTCACCAAATTGCCTTGGAAACCGGGGGCACAATTGGGACCACCCCCCTACCGGAAAAAATGGTGGCCGCCCCAACCCCCCAACCTTAAAGTTCCCCGGGGCCGGGGGGACGTGGGGAAAAAAAACGAAGGGCCCCCTAATCTC